GAGAGGACTGGCAAACCACATTAAGAGCAGAGAAGAGGGTGACAAAATAGGACCTTCTCCATACCATATTGTCCTTAAAGGTATCTGAATCTTAATATAGAGTGGTGTGCGGCCACTCAGCCCACATGATTAATTTTTAAATATCGCAGCAGGTTATTTAAATTTTGTTTCCTATTTAAATTTTGTTTCCTATTTAAATTTTGTTCCGTTTTTTAAAACATTTACAATTATCGCTCGAGGTATTGAGCATAGAAAAAGCCAATCAACAGTTGCTGAAAACAGAAAGTAAATTACACCATTTGCCTGGATGTGGCTAAATTTTGGGATTGGTCCACAATTTTGTATGTAAGATATAGTAGTATTCTAATTTAAATAAAATGTGAATTGGAGTGATATCAGTAGAGCAGTGTTTTGTTTTGCTTTTCCCTTTTCTTCACTGGGAATGGCCTCAGCTCCTAAGCAGGACTCAATACAAGTTAATTAAGATTGCTGTGGAGCAGTTCCCATGAGAGATGCTCACATATGGTAAGATGCAATGTGCAATTTTCTGTTTTCTGTCTTTCAGTCCCAAAATGCTACTTTCTGTTCAGAATTTGGATGGGATGATATTCCCTGCCATGTTTCTAATGCAAGTCAAATTTGATATCTCTGTAATCCAAGGAACTTTGAATTCACAAATGCTAAACTGAAACAGACAAGAATAGGGCATAAAGCAATGCTAGCAATAGCATCTTTTATAAAGCACGACGAGACAATGATAAAAAGCAGGCCTTTGCTTCAGTAATTGTTTGAAGTATGTACCCCCTTAATAGAATGGAATTTGGAGGATACAGATGGTGTGACAATATACATATATCAGTTAAGTGTTAATGGGAATTGCATCCATGATAAATGTCTGTAAGCACATGAAATAGAGACAGAGATTAGAGCATGCCTATAAAGGCTAGGCTATCCTATACAGAAGGCATATACAACTTCCAAGAGACTGTGATCTACTCCCACTATATAAAAAAATTGGCAGTGATCTACCCATTGGATTGACCAAAGTTGTTGAGCGATCGACCAGGAACGCCCCACGATTGACCAGTATATCACAATCGACCGGATGGACATGCCTGTTATAAGGGAAGTAATCAGGTTCGAGAAGGGAATGGACTCTAAGGTTTCCTGCTCTGTGTTTTAATTACTCTGTGGGGATTTACAAGGCTTACATTGTTGAGATTCTATACATTTTTCTGGAAGAAGGGTACTGAGTTCTTCTCTGTCTTGGATTGAAATCCAAGTCAGAGAAAAACCCAAAGGGATGAACTCACAGAATGCTCATGTTGCAATTAATGTGAGCATTACGAGTCTGTGAGGTTCATATTCCAAGTCAAGATGTATAAAGCTCAACCACATCTCCCCAGCTAAGGGAGCACTTACATCACAGGTGGGGTGGGGTGGGGGGGATAGGCAAAAAGGGAGTTAGAGCAGTACTGGATAAATGCAGGCTACCAGCTGTCAGAGGCTTGATTTAGAAAACCTATTTTTGTTGCCTGCCTGTGACTACAAAATGCAGGGGAACCATCCAGCAACTAGTAGCTCACAATGCATAAGTGTTTAGCTTAGTAGGCCAGAAGTTGTGCAAGTCTGGTTTAAGGCTAAAAAGCATGGTGTCACAGAGGGCTCTATTCTGAAGCAATCCACCCAGACAATATCACTGTTACTCTGAAGCACCCTTGCCTATTTATCCTCTTGATATGTTGGACATTCCTTTAGAAGTTCCTATGTAAATAACTTTAAAGAACTGCGCATTGCATACCTTGCTCTCCTTTCAGCATTTTTAAACATAATCACCTGCTGATGACAAGCTTATTTTCATATGATTAGATTGTCAAATTAAATCTTATGTCCCTGAATCACCCTCTTCTGGACTGTTTAAAATGGTGCCAATTCCTGGGCTGCTGCCATCTTGATTTATACTAGGCATGCTCAGCACACCTTGAGAAATGTGTGTCAAATGATAATTGAAATGCAAACCAAAGAATACAAACAACCATAGAAATAAGCTATAAAGATGTGCCCCTACCTTTCCAAAATCAAGACCTTGATCTGCAATATTCCATTCAGGTCAGCTTTCCATGCATTATATATGAAGGATATATAATATTGGGGCTACTGGTGGTCAACAAAAGAGGTTTAAAGACTGTCTCAAGGCAAATCTTTAAAAATGTAGTATAAACACCGACAACTGGGAAACACTGGCCTGCGAGCACTCCTGTTGGAGAACAGCCTTTACCAAAGGTGTCATGAAGACACTCGAACTCAGAACGCAAAGGACAAGGAGAAACGTGCTAAGAGGAAGGCACGCTTCACAAATCCACACTGTGATCAACTCCCACCCAGGAACCAATGTCCCCACTGTGGAAGGATGTGTGGGTCCAGAATTGGCCTCCACAGTCACTTATGGACACATTGTTAAAACCGTATTTATGGAAGACAATCTTACTCGGCTGCAAGTGATCGCCAAAGAAGAAGAAAATTGGGGCTATTATCACCTCAGCCAAATTTAACTCCTATTAAGGCACAAAGCAAGCTAAAGAAACTAGGGCACTTGTCATAGTCAGCACCTTGAGCTGCTCCTAGAAATATCTCTACCTCTACCTGGAAGCCAATGGCAAACCCTGAGCAAAGGTGTTCTGGCACTGGCTTAAAGTTAGCCCAATGCGCAGCCCACTGCAGCTGCCAAATCTGGAGGTTACAATAACAAACAAAGGACTTCTGGTGTACCAGAGACATCAATTAGGCACCTTTAAGATGTACTAACATTCACTAAAAAGGTAAGGAAGGAAAAGATTAAAGTCTTTTTGTCGCTTTGAAAAGGCTCATCCTGACCTTTCTTTACTCTAGTCATACAGAAGCCCATTTTCCCTCCATCGATCATATCAAAGAGAAGCAACCTTGTGCTACAGGGTTTGCTTTCCATCCCTCACCTGCACATCTCTTCTTTTTCTTTGATTGTGAAGAGCTATGTGCGCCTTCTTCTTTTTTCTTCAAAACAGTTCCAGTGCTGAGAACCTTCAACTACATCCCTGATGCAGTCCCTACATTAGAGGGATAGGGCTATAATTTAGTTTGGGACTAATTTGCTCATATCTCTTTATTATGATTAATTAGCAAACCAGATATATAAAAGAAAAGCTGCTTAAAAAAAAAAGTTATCAATGGACTCCAAGCTTAAGAGGCCTTGAGGTTTTGCACACTCCTTTTCTAGTCCTTTAGCAGATTACAAACAATACAGATAAGCTGTGCTATTTCATAGCACCAACATGCCAGATAAATGCTTTTCCAGCAAACATTTTCATTAAGCTTCTGTTCTATTATATAGGAGTCTGGGATATTTATTCAAATACATTTTGCACGGCATGTGGTGCTTTCTAATGGAATTTTAACAGGGAAGGGGAGAACTAGTAGAAATGTATTTTCCAAAGAGCATATTTATATCACAGATCCTGAAAGAAAGAAACCATGATGAAGGTCAATGTATATTTTAGACAGAAAAAAGAGTAAATGGGAATTTAATAAACATGACCTTTGATAAGGTGTTCTGTCCAGTTTTTGTATCTGAGTTGTCTTCGTTCAGTGCACAGACCATGCCACACAGCAGATACAAAATTATTGCTACAGATGGGAAAAACTTGATGTCAAATGTTTTCGAGGAACTTCTGCGCTGGGAGTCCAGTACAGCTCAAAGTCAAAATCCCCAGTGACAATTCAACATTTTCTGGGTAGCAACTGGACTCAACATTGCTATGCCAAAATGACTTATAATTTGGCTCAGAGACGCTTGGACACAACAGTCTAAGTACAAACCATTGATAAGGGGTATTAATTGTTTTGTCTCACTAAGTAATAAATAAATTCCTATTAGCAGTGGAGATGTTGGGAGCCAATCCTTACAAAAGGAATGAGAATCCTTATTTCTTGGGGTCAGAGGCAGTGGTCAAGAAACACTTTGACATTTTGAGCATGTGACAGTTAGCTCTATTTGTCAAAAACAGCTCTTCGCTGGCTAGAAACATTTCCATAACCGTGGCTATTTCTGTTTTCCTAAATGGAAAACACTACAATGGGAGGAAAAATAAAAGGAAAAGAATGGAACTCCATGGAATGAGAACACGTGGGTGGTTTGCTGAATGCATACAAGCCAGGAAGCTACAACTGGTCTCAGCTTCCCAGCCCATACAGTATACACAGTGGTGGCTTGTTGAGGCAGTTTGATGGAAGGCAATTCCATGCTTAGCAGTAATATAGAAGGATAAGTTACCTGATGCTCTTAGCAGAGGATGTCATAAGGCAGCACTGGAGACCTGGGAACAGTTTTGTTCAGCACCACGCAGGCACAAGCAAGCAGCTGCTGAGTGGCTGGCAGTACACAGTATGGGCCAGACATTATGGCCCATCAGTGCATGGATTTGATGTAACAATCCCATGCCTCCATTACCACCTTGCAAGGCCTTACTCTTCCTGTTGCCATCAGTGTCCTGCAGCAGAAATGTATTACCTTGCAGTAAACTGCCTTACAAACGGCTGCTGCATATATATTATATATGGAGGCGGCAAAACATGCACGTGCAATTGTCAGGGGATGCAATCTATGCATAACATGCATGAAAGCTTTTTCTTAAAATAGAAGTGCTTTTTGGTCAGGAAAGGGGCAACAAGAGGTAAGGCAGATATTGAGTGCTGTTCTTGCTACATAGGACTATCCTTCTTTACCAGCAAACAGATGACATCCCCTAAGACACATCTTGCTTCATTACCTGCTGGTTTGCTCTTGAGTTATTTGCTCTTTCCAAGAAACTTCTGACCGTGGTGTCCAGGTTCCAAGGATTAGCTTTAAAGAATTGTAGTCAGAGACTATGGCTAACTCTCAACTTCATTTTATATAGTCTAAAAGTGTTTAATGCAGATAGATGAGACAGAAGGAGATGAGAAACAAATGCAGCCTTGAACTTCTCCTGACTGACTTTATTTTTTATTCAATGGACATACAGAGCAGAAAGGCAAGGGCACTCAGACATGGACAATTGTGAAATATATCTGGTGCCAACATAGCCAAACCTATGTTGATATAAACAATCCCTTAGACCTTTGCAGAAACGTCCAGTAAAAATAAGGGTAGATACTATTCCATCCATCACACATGAACATATAAATCATTAGATTTAGCTGTGGACCAGCACTTCAAACTGGAAAAAATGTATATTTAAATTATCATTGAATGTCCTGAATTTGATGGAGCCAGTAAGGAAACTACTGTGGAAATAACTGAGCAGTAGATTTTAAACTTATATGGGCTCACAGAATATTTAGATGTTATAATTTTAACAAGCTACGCAAATCCATGGTATCATACAAATCAGTTTCAGTTAAAACAAATTGACCTATAAAATTTATTTATTAAATTTCTGTCCCGCTTTGCTTCTCAAAGGAGCCCAGGCTAGCAGACACCAAAGTCATAGATCAAATGATAAATACAAACAACTAAAAAAAAAAGTAAATGTTTCAAACCTTAAAAAAAATAAACACATCTAAAAATATGGAAAGGAGTGACATGCTTTTGGAGTTGATAATTTTAAAGTTGCAAGGAAGCATTATTTGTCATCAAAGTTGTCCTGAAAGTTAATAATGAGGGACACAGATGCATCATGCCAGGGTGGACATTCCACAAACAGGGAAGGGTCATCGAGAAAGCCCTGCCGTGGGTCAGTGCCAACCAGGGAGCACCCAGCAATGGCACCACCAACATAATCTCCCAGCTGATATTAAGGAAGACACTCTTTTGGGTATTTGAGCCCCAGCCAATTAGGGCTTTGTACACAAGTACTGACTTCTTGAATTGGGCACAGTAGTTCGTTAGCGGCCAGTGCAACCACATTCTGCACTAGCTGCAGCCTCCAACCCATCTTCAAGGAAGGCCTCACATAGAGCACATTACAGTAGCCCAGGTAGTAGGTCACCAGAGCAGAGGACAGGCTACCCTGCTCCAGAAATAGCTAGTGAAGCAGCCTAACCTGATCATAAGCATCCCTAGCAACAGAAACAACTTGAGACATAGAGGAGGATATGGTTATCCCTGTGTTAGTAAAAGAATGGGTTAAGTAAGAGAATGCTAGCCCTATAAACAGTTATATTGGTGAGAGCAAATGGTGAGAGTTCACCAATAAAAGCTAGAATAGATTACTTCTTTTTCAGGAAAACCAATATTGACTTGCAGCTCTTTTGTTGTAAGACAGCTTTAATGTTTTCTACCTCATTTGCTTACTGAGGAACTCCTGATGCCTGCCACAAAACATTAATTCACTTCACTTCCTCCCAAATTCAAGGCAGTTATCGAAACCGATACTCCTGCAATGTACATATATAATGTTGTGAGCAGGTTCATGATGTCCAAAAGACACAATCCCCCTCTACTCAGATGCCCATCCAGTTTTGGTAATGCTTTCTTTTTCTTCTTCTGTGAAATGAATTTTCTTCTGTATCATATGCAAGCTTATGCAGCCTTTAAAATAATGTTCTTCCCTTCTCCACAGCGATACCCCTTTTCAAGAACCCTTGGGGGGAACAAAAATCCCCTCCTCTCTTATAATGCGAATCTCCCCTTCATTTCCCTGTTACTATAGGAGGTAATGTAAGTACAATGCAGAAAGAATGCCTTCTCTGAAGATGAAAGGGAGGGAAAGTGGAGACATATCGTTTCCCCAAAAATATAGATCCTAGACCAGGACTGGTTAATTTTTGGCCCTCCATATGTTGCTGTAGTAAAACTCTCATCATCCCCAACCATCCCACACCCCACATCCATGAGAATTTTTTTCTGGTCTTTTTTCTGCAATGCCCACACACAGAATGCTATTTCCCACTTCTGAATCCTGGAATATCCCTATTGTTCTAAGTAAATCAGATCAAATTGATACCATTTGTTTGTTAAAAGCAGCTGTAACTACTTATCCAAATCCCAAGGATACAATTTAAGTGACAGGGTATGAAGGAATCTGTTAAGTATGTAACTTGCACAGAGCAAGAAAACAAGCACTGTATGAAATTTCCTCCATCTAAATTGAACAACAGCTGCTGTAACTTAAAGAAAACATTGGATAGCACCTGTGCCTAGGATGGTAGCATGTAATACAGGAGTAGAATGTAACCCTGCAGCTCTTGTATATCAAGTCACACAATATACACAACTATTCTGCATCCTTTCCAAATTATGTTTTCACCAGTACAAATATGATATGCAGATAGAGTCAAAGCAAAACAAAATTATGGAGTAATTCTTAAATCTTTTTAGAAATGACATTGAAACAACACTGCTACTGTACCCTGGTGGAGCAAGAATAATGTGAACACTTCCACATATATCTTGCTGCTACTCATAAATGATATTGTGCACCCAGCACGGAATCTAAACCATATATTAATAAAGTACAGTTTTACCTACTGATGTGATACGATACAATGTGAGGAAGCAGTGCAGAATGTACCAAATTCAGTCCTGAGACATAATTTTCTCCTGACTCTGAGGAAATTCTGGGGGAGGGGGGGATCATCAACAGTCGTTTTAGCTTGGCATTTTCATGTATCTCATTTCTTTCTTGTGTAGCACTGAGTGTGGGCAGAAAGTATGCATTCTACAAAATAAATACATTGTAAAAGCCAGCCACAGCTGTTTCACTAACTAGGTTCAATACATCATTAGTAAAATTCTACAGTGTAACAAAGCTAATACTTGTGAAAGCTGCTTGCATGGCTCACAGGCCCCCTTTTTAAAACATAAGTAGAAAGGTTCTCTGTTGTATCTCTAGATAGCATGAATATTTGAAACATTCTTCAAGGTGATTGTATCTATCAAATTTTCATGTAGATAGGCTGAACAAATGAACTAGTATTGCATTTTTAAAGGATCAGACTGCTGTTGATTAAGGCCTTGTCAGATTGGGTACTTTCCTCCAGTTTTCCCAGTGGTGCAACTGACTACAAACTATACAAGCATTAGCATAGGCAAGCTGTCATTTTAATATAAAGCGCTCTAAGGTTTAGATACTTTTAAGGGGGCAAAGCTTTTGAGTATATGGTGGTGTGGTGTTAACTTTTGCATCTCTACCCCAACCTTCCTCCCATAATTTCATAGCAGCACTAAGAGACAGTGACATTCCCAAGGATGCTCCATTAAGCTTCAAGGTAAATGGCGATTTGGCCCTGGATTTTCCAACTTCAAAACCAAGATACTAGCCACTATAAAAGCAGTGCACTGAAGAGGCTACCCAAAGTTTCATCATAACAAAGCAAAAGTTATGTATTTAAATAAGTACGTAAACAAGTCCTCCCAGTTGTGAGGTAACGTGACTGACATATTTTCTTTTATTTAAAATTCTATATGTCCCTGGGTCCAGGGTACAAAAGAGCAAAGGGCACAGTATATATCAGCCCCAGTCATTAAAATTCCATTTACAATAGTCAAGGACTTATTTGAACACAAAATAGAATCGGCCTTAACGCTACATAGTCAGTTTGCAACTAACCCAGTCCTGCGATCAGGTAGGATTGACCTGAGGCTGGCTAATGATGCCTTTGCAGCTCTAATAGAGCATGTCCTGGCATACCCTACAAGCAATTATCTGACTAAAGGAAAATAACTGGTGCCAAGAGCTAATAGCCAACTAGATCTGGTCTTTTAGAACAAAAGGGACCTATTGCACCTCTGTCAGGAGACTCAGAAAGCTAGTTCGACTTTTTAAGATACTCTGACCATTTCGTATCAAACCAGAGAGGCTGTCAGATCCAGTATCTGGGTCAAGGTTTTGCTGAAAATAGCCTGAATGTATTTTTTTGGGGGGTGTAATTTTTAAGACCAGCTAAATTAAGAGAAGTACTTTAATGTAAATGGTTATAACATTTGTAACTTTACTAATACACATTAATAGTAAAATATTAAATTCTTCCCATGAAGTAAAGGTAAGACATCAAGATCTGAAGTAGAAAGAGGCAACCTCCTTATCACCCATACATATTTGGGGAAAGTTTGGATGTATCCAACTATTTATCTGGACATATCGAATTATTTATCAAGTCATACAAATTAAATCCAAAATGATATTGTGAACATATAAAATGCCATCATTGGCTTGAAAAGTCTGAGTGGCAGCGTGCCCACATTAAGTCACATGCAGGTACCAGGAACTAGAAACCTCTGGGGAACCTGCAGCTTACATGGAACTGGGCCCTTGGCATTGCCCTCCATAATCATCTTGGGAAGGTGACAGAAGAAGAATGAAATCTGCTTCATTCACAGGCTTCACTGAAGTACCTGGTATTTCTGCATAAACTGAGGACCCACGGTTGCTTGCAATCATGGGAAGACCTACACTCAATTTTCCACAAAAGTTTGAAAAGAACCAAATGTTATATAAGCATATGAATGAGACCACTACACAAATATTTAGCCTGACAGCCTGAATAATTCACAGTGCAAAATGTGTCAAGTGTAAGCATTCAAGAATAATCTAATGAAAGAACTTCAAGCAAAAAGAGCTTTATCTTTAAAAGAAAAGAATCATATTACAAAAATATGATTCTTCTGCGGCACAATCCATCCTTTCAAAAATGAAGATTAACTAGCATGTGAAAAATATTTTTCTAAGATCTGTTTTATTTGAACACACAAGAGTTTTAGCAGCAATATGAACCTCAGCAGTTTTCATAATACCTAAAAATGTTTAAAGTATGTTTTCTAAACAAACTAAAGTGCCATAAAAATATCAGAAACAAAATCCATTGACCTTGGTACACAAGTTATAATGCCTACAGGGTTATAAGCACAATCTAAATACATACATACCACCGAGCCATTACATATTTTGGCTCCTTATTCCCCCACGCAACAAATGTTTGTGACAATACAAAGCAAATTTAGGAAAAACATAGAAAGTAGATTGAAAGAAACCAGTCGTTTGCCTGAACAATACAATAAATAAAAGACCGATTTTTACACAATTCTGTGCTCTTGCTCTGAAAGTAATACGACCAGTGGATGCCCTCACATAGGTTAGGAATTCACACTGCTTCAGAACTTTTATCAGCACTACTGTGAAGCTAGAGCTCTCTTGATGATTATAGATCTCAGAATGACAAAAAAAGGCAAAAAGAGTTCAGGCTACATTGGTCCTTTTTATAAAGCTGCCACATTTTGGCATCGGCACTAGTTACTTCGTAAGAACTTTGCTTTGAGTTGATGGATACCCCCTAAGATTTCTTTTTCGTTTTGAGTAGGCCACTAAGGGTAGTTGATTTTTGTGAACTTTTGCTTGGAGACCCATGACTCAGAGAAAAGGAAGACTTTTCCATTTCAGTTTTCTTCTCTTGGCTATCCTGCATCCGTTTCACAACTGATCCTGGAGAGACCGACCCACTTCCACTACTCTGAATCTTAAAAACAAACAACACCAAAAACACAAATTAACACAGGATACATTTGATATCACATTTATTAATGGGAGGAAGAAACAGTCATGGGATGGTGCCTGTTCAAATTGTAGTAGAAATTTCTGCTTTCTGATCAGTTATACAATGTCATTAGGAAAGGACAACTTTGTCTGGAGCTAGGTTAGCTGCAATAAAGCAAATCAGATTTGACAGTATTCTTATTAATACATGGTGTTAGGAGTGGGAAGAATCCTCGTCTAACTACTCAACAGAACCATATTCTGTAAGCTAAAAACCAACAGGCCAAAAAGCTCTCAGATGCTCAAAAAGTACCAGGAAGAGCCCAGCAGCAATGAGTGTCTACTAAAGAGAGGAAAAGGAAAAGAGGTAAAGGAACAGTAATAGAATGACAGAACAAGCTGCAACAGACCCTGACATTGTATGCCATCACACTCCAGTCCCAGACAGAAGGAACTATGCAATATTGCATCACCAAAGCAGTTTGAGACTCTTAATCTCAGGGTCGTGAGTTTGAGCCCCACGTTGGGCAAAAGATTCCTGCAGTGCAGGGGGTTGGACTAGATGACTCTTGTGTCCCTTCCAACTCTACAATTCTATTGGGCCCATCTATTCCAACTCCCTGTTCTCACACTGACTAACCAAATGTCTATGGAAAGCCCACAAGCAGGACCAGAATGTATCAGCACTCTCAGTATCTTTTTAAACCTCAGCAACTGGAATTCAGAAGCACACTGCCTCCAACACTGGAAACAGAATACAACCATCATGGGTAAAGGTAAAGGTACCCCTGCCCGTACGGGCCAGTCTTGACAGACTCTAGGGTTGTGCGCCCATCTCACTTAAGAGGCCGGGGGCCAGCGCTGTCCGGAGACACTTCCGGGTCACGTGGCCAGCGTGACAAAGCTGCATCTGGCGAGCCAGCGCAGCACACGGAAACGCCGTTTACCTTCCCGCCAGTAAGCGGTCCCTATTTATCTACTTGCACCCGGGGGTGCTTTCGAACTGCTAGGTTGGCAGGCGCTGGGACCGAGCAATGGGAGCGCACCCCGTTGCGGGGATTCGAACCGCCGACCTTTCGATCGGCAAGCCCAAGGCGCTGAGGCTTTTACCCACAGCGCCACCCGCGTCCCTACCATCATGGGTAGTAGCCACCAATAGACCCATCCTTCATTAACTTGTCCAGTCTTTTAAAGCCATCCAAACTGATGGCTTCAACTACCTCTTCTGGGAATGAATTCCTTAGTTTAACTGTGCACTGTGTGAAGAAGTACTTTCTTTTGTCTGTCCTGAATCTTCCAATGTTCAACTTCACTGGGTGGTCTTGAGTTTTAGTCTTATGAGAGAGGCAGAAAAACTCCCTACCCACCTTCTCCACACAATGCATAATTCTATTCACCTCTATCTTGTCCCCCACATACTTGCCTTTTTCCCCTGAGCTAAGAAGCCCTAAATGTTGGAAACTTTGATAGCTTTATCACATCTTTGCCCACACTAGCAGACTTCCCTTCCTGATGACATCATCTATAGGACTGAAATGAAGGCCATCTACTTTGCAAAGTATTTCTGTAGTGGCAAGAACTACGGTACCACAAAGACTGAAGCAAGGAAGGTTTTGAAGGCTAGTGTAATGAAAACTTCTGCACCAAGTTTACACACCAAGAACAATGAAAAAGCAGTTACCAATAAAAAAAGACTATAAATCACACAAGTTGATATATGGAAGCTACTTAACTAACCCAACCTCTATAAATTACAAGAGAATCTGCTTAGTCAGAATCAAATCCTCTAAATGATTCAGAGAAGTTTAATTTAGCCTCTTGGTATGCTGTTGGTTAAGATGCTAGGACTGCATGAGACTGCCACTATGCTTGCTCCTAGACACCTAGGTATGAACCAGCATCCACTAATGGGAGCTCTACATGCAAGTGCCCCAATTCCCTTTTCTTATCGTGGGACTCAGGGCATTGACATGTAGACCATCTACTTAGAGGGCACATTTAAAATGTGATCCCAGCCTGCTGCAAGCACAATACCAACTGCAGAAGCATCTAAAGTAGTTCCATGGCAGCCCACACATAGCTGAAATGACCCTTCAATTAAGAGAGAGCGGCCAATTTTATAAATATGCTTACGTTGGAAGCTGACTTGTTATATGAACTTTTCTTCCGCAATGTCCCATTTGGTAAAGTGTTGCTGTGTGTTTTTTTCTTATGAGTCTGAAAAAGAATACATGTTGTTCTGTAAAAAAGTAACTCTAAAAGTTCTGTAAAAAGTAACTATGATTCATAAACTCTGATTCTCCTTAACACAAACCTTGCCTTTACCAGCACTGCTCTATGCTATTATCTAGTTCAGGGGTGGGCAACCCAGTCAGATGGACAGGGTGTAGTAGTAGTAGTAGTAGTAGTAGTAATTTCAGCCTGATGGCTGCCCCGCTGTGCAAACTTCTGAGGGCTACACACCAATGAGAGGCAGGGCCAGAGGCAAAAGTGTACACAGGAGCAAATGTGAATTTTACCTGTGTACATTAGGTGAGTTTCCATACACAACTCACACACCCTCTCTATTTCCATCAGGGAAAGCAAGAAGCATTTATCAGAGTTTGAAGACACATTCCAGCCAAACCAAAACACTCAAGCAGGCTGCAAAGCAAGTCCAGTAGCAGGTGTGACCCAGGGAGAGTCCTAAGGGCCAGACAGAGATTCCTAGAGAGACACATTTGGTTCCTAGGACTGAGGTGCCGCACCCCTAAGATTGATTTAATCTTAGAAATACCAGGTTAACTTTTACTTGTTTTGTCGGCGTGGAGGGTTTGCTGCTCCCACTCTCTGTTTCTCTTTCTATACTGGCCTCTAAGTTGCCATTGCTGCTAGCAAGTCTATCATGTTCTTCACGGATTTCTTGTTGTGAAGTTGATGATGCGCCATTCAGTTCAACTTCCAGAAGGTCTACTTCTCTATTGTCTGTGTTGATGTCGTTATTCCACTTCTTCATCAATTCTAGGACATTACATGGCCTTGGGAAAATGTCTGTTTCACCCTAAAGAAATAATAAACCATTTATGCCCAGGCCTTTATTTCTGGAAGCCAAGGTGTTTCATTAATTCTTTTGTAATAAAAGTCCAAAGAGAGAAAGCTCCTCTTTTTTTAAAAAAACAAACGAACTGATTTTGTCCCCACAAAAAAAAAAATAATGAAGAGTTTTACATTGGGAATTATATTGTAGCACATTTGGATCCATTTCCTCTTCTTTTTGGCCAGAACATTCTAAAAACAGCTGATTCCTTATCCTTATCTTAGGTGGCACCTATTTTTGGTCCTCCTTACAACTACTTCTTGAGGTGGCAAGATGGAACACCTACCTGTAGGCAATTAAAAATAGCACTGGTACACTTATTAGAAAGTCAATTGCTTTGGCAATCCCTCCGTACCTTCATTGATTTTCTATCACAAGTATGCAAGTCCAATAAAATCTGAAAATGATTTTGCCTGCCTGGTGGCAAGCTGTTTTCCCAAAAGCTCCACAAAGTTGTCAAGCACAAAGTCCTATTCACCTAGAAGTTTCAGAAGCATTTCTGACCAACAGGACAAATGTAACTATTTTTTTCATGGCACAGCAGCAACGAGTGTCTACTAAAGCCAGGCAAAGGAAAAGAGGTAGAGTAAAAAAAACAATACTAGAAAGACAAAACAAGCTGCAGTATATGGCATCAGATACTTTGATGCTCACAAATGCAGATTCTATGGAATCCTAAACGGGTTTTTTTTTAGACTTGAGCCAAAAACATGAAAAGAGGTTTGTTTGAACATATTTTTGCTCCTGTGTTCCTTCATAGTAATTTCTGTGGAGTGGAACCAAGAACAAGAGTGAAAACAGCTTCACTTATTTTTCTTCAGCAACCATTCAGAGTGAGGGGACTGCTTTATGTCCTTATTCTGAATTAACTTTGTGACACTATCATTGTAACCAAATCCAATTGGGTATGTGGTTTAATGACATAAATATGGCTTATGGCTGGATCACATAGGAAAAGACCTAATATAAGGTCTTTTAAAAACAGATTTCCTAAGCAACAACCTAGGCAACAAGCAATTATAATCATGGTGGAGAGAGGAGGACACACCCCTCCCACTTCAATTCCATGCCAAAAATGTTTCAGTAAAGAATTTGAGCAAGTTAGACCAAGGCTTGCATTGTGTTCTTATATATTAACTTATTTAGCTTTACAGACCCATTCTTGTATTTGTGTAATGCTCATTATGGGCACATATCAATTTCCATAGAAATAAATGGATCTTAAATATATAAATGAGCACTATTTTTAGTGGATTTTCTCCCAATGGATTTCTTCACTTTTTTTGAGTCCTTATAAGCTTTTGGTTCTGAAAGTCTCTGGGGGTATAATACCTGTCTATTTGAAACTAGCAGTTACCCCCCCCCAACACACTGAGGGGCAAGGACTATAATTGTAAAAGCAGCCTTGTAGCTTTGTCTTCTCTGTATAATGTATCAGCATCAGCTTCTTTAAGACTGGAACAGGAAAGTCATGAGTGTGGGCCCACTTAAAGAAAGATTATGTGTTTGATCTGCTGTGGGGAAAATCTCCCCCATGGATGTTGAACCCAATAAATGCAAAGTGATTCACAGTGAAGATTCAGTATCTTTAAGAGATACAAGCATTCAACCTAAGGCTTTAAGCAAGAAATACTTCGTTCTTTAAAAAAAACCCAAGCACTATGTTTTTAAAAGTTTGCTTATATGTGTCTAAAAATAACATGTGTGTGAATCTTTTCCATTTAAAGAAATGTATCATAAGGTTTCGACCATACCATAAATCCATACATGACAATGGATCCATACATTCCAAGCAATATACCTAGATTTTCACCTTCTTTTCCAACCGCAATACTATATTGTCTTTATTAACAGTATATTTCAGTCTTTGCCTTCCTATGGTTTTGGCACAAGGTATGTATGTGTGTGTTGTTTCTGAGTGGTGGAGGTTGGGATAAGATAGCCATGCACAGAGAGAATTAGTTCTACATGAATCAGGATAATGTATTCTCAGTCCTTCTAAATTTATAGAATGATTTTCAGATGTGGACTCCAATTTTGCAGGTGCAAATTTACATCTGTAATTAACTGTAGACAAATTGATGTTGCAGACATCCAAATAACTACCTTATTTGCAAGCACATTCAGGTAATTAAATTTCTAAGTGCACCAAATCGCACCTACAAAATAAGAGGCTGAGTTGTGGCCTCAGGAAAAAAAGCACTATGTTTTAAAGAGCTACAAATACTTAAATAGCACATGAAATGGGGTGGTTGTGTTCTGACAGTTTTTAAGAAAGTGGAACCACTTAAGTTAATTGTCTGTATTGCCTCATTTGAGCACCTGTTGAGTTTAATTGGCTAGCATCTGGTGCTGATTGTGGGGAAAGTGGAGGATTACTAATTGGTTGCCTTTTAGATTGTTTCATTTTCTTTTGTCTTTCCTTCAAGCTTTTTATGTTCATATTTTAAGGGAGTGCATGTCAGTGAGATTCAAGGCATAGAAGGGAACAGTGTGCCCCTCCATCATATGGCACCCAACGTATGTCAGAAACACATTTTCCATTCTGTGATCTCTGCTAGACTCTGTTCTGAATGGCAGTACTCCCACACCACAGCTTCTGGACAAAAATAAAGGTTTGTTGGAGAAAATGTTCCAAAAGTAAGGCATAGTTTAAGAACCTTTTATGGTATTTGTGTGTGATGAAAAATAAATGAATATTCACACAGAATGGTCAGTTAACTGGCGACTGATTTTTATTATTATTTTGTGAGGGATAGGCCACGCACTGGAGAACACACTTGTGTGATCAAAAAGGGCAAGTGGAGGGCAAGAGGAAGGAGAAGCAGCCTCAGTAGTTGAAAATGTAAGTGCTGGACTTATTCATGAATTGAAGAAACACCCACTAGTGACAAAACGTTCCATCATGTGCAGTATGGACCAACTTGCTGAACTGAGAAGCAGTGTGCTTAGTTTTATAAACCAGAAGACTATGCATTAGGAAGAGTGAAACTCAGATTACGCAGAAGCAAATACGAATATGAAATATTTGAAGCACTCGTGAAATGCACATTTACCCTAGTATCTCTAAACACTTTTGTGCATTAACATAACATGAGTTCTTACATAAATTTGGGAACTGATGTGGGTGGGAGTAATTTAATTATAAACATCTAACAAACAAGACCTTCTGTCCATCTGTGGGCACAAGGGGGGAAAAAATCTAACAACCAATCCTATTGATAAATAAACAGCTGTTTATTTGGGTAAAGAGTACGAGAAAAGAACTATAGCAATTATGCAAAAATAATCCGGAAATAGATGCAACATAATTTCAGTTTGTTTGCAGCAGTGTATGGAGAAAAAACAACACCGATAGAAGCTTTTAACCATTGATATCTCTGCTCCAAAGGATAACCAACCACAGATTTTTGAATTAACACTTTACATAAAATAGCAGCTATTAGAATTCTGTGATACTTCTGCCCAAATGCTTGTCATTTCAACAGCTATCCCTCTGTCAAATGCTCTGAAAGGTTAAGTGATTGCAAACCCTAAAGCTGTGTACCATGCATGAAGTGCCTAACCCCCAAAGGTAGAAGAAAGGACAACTGGATATGGACAATCCAGATATGGGTGAAAATAGATTGCAACCTTATTGATACAGCAAGTATGTGCAGTTGGCTACGCACAGGGCAAGGACTGGATAGCAGAGATCTCACCTTTTATACGAAGGCGGTGCCCCTAGCCCATCTGCTGGGGCCACCTCCTGTGGGTTGCCAGCATAACAGTCCTCAGCATGCTACGGGACAAGCACCTGAGTTCTAGCTGGCAACCTGGGACAAACAGTGAAAGGCCTGCCCTGCTCAAGCCAGGGCTGAGGGCTAAAACACCGCCTCCAAGTCCCCACTATATTAATGGTCTTCCCAATGCCTTATCCTGCTCAAGTTGTGACAGAGAAAACAAAAGATGAACACCTAACAATGTAAACAGCTCTTGCTGAGATGAAGGTGAAAACCTCACATTATGGGCCAATGAAGATATGAGCAAAATTCCTTTCCGGGAAACCAAACAAGTTCCCAGCAAATGTCTTCACTCCGAGGGAGGGAGGGTGCATGGTGAAGCCATGGACAAGAACAGACTGATTCCCAAAGTCAGGGCCTCCTTTTGAGACTAAGATAAGCCCTGCATCTTCCCCATAAGCCTTGTGATAGTGTAGAAGCTCCCAGGAATTTCTGCAAGACCTAGTTAGCCCCATACATGGACCCCACCTCCTGAAGATTCTGCCTAGTCTGCACAAGGTGGCCCTGCCACAGGAAAGCAGAGAACTGTTAAGTTCTGGTAACACTAGGCTGCCCTACGTAAGACAGTAACCGACATTCCATTATTAAACATCTCACTAACAAAGCTGATCTTGTTCTTCATGAGGGAGGGGAGCCTTAGGATGAAACCTTTGCTAGAAATGGACTGGAACAAATAGAAATGTGTAAAGTCTGGAAAAGTAATCAAAAGCGCATCACATCTTATTCATTTCTATATTATTGTTGTTTAAATAATTGCTTCCATTAGTATCAGCGAACCTCTGTAATCACCAAAACTTCAGATATACTGGGAAAATAATATTTGTTTTGTAGGGTGTTCATACTGTAGTTTACCTATACTGCTTGCTTAAATGTGGATACAATTGCTTTGGGGAACAACCATCCATGCACTCCATTTAAATGAAGTTTGCAAGAGAGGTTCCCTGTGGATAGTGCCCTTGATTCTGCTTATGCTTTCGCTTAACAAAAATATATACACATACCTCGGAGATATTGCGGGTTTGGTTCCAGACCACTGCAATAAAGCGAATATCATAATAAAGCAAGTCTCCTTTCCTTTTTCTTTTTGTTTCCCAGTGCATACATAGAAAAGATATGTTTACACTATACTGTAGTCTATTAAGCCAGGCTTCCCTGGCTGCAGGGACAGAAAGGGGAAAAACCTAGTTCTAGCCCTAGCCAACTCCACTCCCGTGGCCAGAAAAGGACCATTCTCTGCAAGGCGTATTAAAGTGAAGCACAATAAAATGAAGTATGCATGTACACAGATGGAATATGCAACTCAGTGTCTGGATCAGAATTCTGACAATTGGAACTACACTAAGAAAGGTCATGAAGAGTTGGCAGAATCTGGAGGGAGTAGAAGGAGAAATGTAGTAATTTGTGGCCCGGATTTTTGTTCCTGTTTACACAGTCTATAAAAGCCCAGTAAGCCCTCACAGTGACTTGTGTCATTGTTTATATACTGTCAGATACACCAAATGCTGTAAGTACAATTTAGATGCATATAAGGCATATCTTACTTGTTGTAACATAGTAGAGCCTTCAGAAAAATTGGGATATGGCTATTATCTGAGGGGGGTGGGGGAGAAACATTTTCACAAATAAAAAGAAAAATAAGGCAAATATTTAGGGTTTTTTTAAAAAAAAAAAAACAGCAACTTACTGTTATCCACTGGATGTGAAGCAATTCATTAGCAGTCATTCTGTGGGCAGGGTCTACTCTCAGAAGCAGCTCCAACACAGCTTTGGCTATAAAGAGAAAGACTCATAAACCTCATTTCTGTTAGCTGCTAACAAACACATCTCCCAGTTGTCTCTGAGTGCTTTAATCCAGCAGAGTATTTTACCTCTAATGCTGTGAAGCTAATTCATGGCAACAGTTCTGTGAATTTTCTTTAGCATCAATTTTACATTTATGAGAAAACACAGTACTTAATGGTAATAAAAAGGTCAAAATATTGCAACAATTTGTTGAATTTCATGCTGGGGATGTTGTTGTTTGTTTTTATCGTACAGTTGCCTACTTACCAGCCTTACTGACTGTATCCCAGATTGAATGTTTAAAATGAAGATCTCCTTTCTTTATAAGTTCAAAAAGCTTTTCTTCAGAGCCTGCCATAAAAGGTGGATCACCACATAATCTGTTTTGCAGGAAGCAAAAAAGGAAGGCTGCTTTATATTCTGATTAGTACACATATATGTTTAAAAGATAGAAGCCCCGTGAGGATTTGAGAGGTGGCTGCAAGTTTAGTCTAGATAGTATAAGCAAGCTGTTCTTCACATTTGCAATACATTCTTTTGGATAGGAGTTTAAGCCAGGTTATTATATCTCCATTGTTGCTTTTAAAACGAATGTACATTGTTGTTTTTTCTCTATATAAACATTCAAATTCTATATAACATTTTTGTTTTCTGAAACAAACAAAATCCAAATGATTTTGAAACCCCAGAGGTTTAAGACAGCTAGTTTAAGCTCCCAAACAAGATGACTCTTTGTCAGAAATGGCAAAACTTTGCACCAAAAACTCTGCTTCTCGGATTTTGACTGCTCAGCTCAGCTAGTCTCTTAAGACATATGATCTATATTTTTATGCTGTTGTTCAGCCAAACCTGTAGTCCTATAGACAGTTTCCTGCAAGTAAGTCCACCGAACTCAGTGAGACTTGCTTCTGATTAGACATGCATAGAATTGCACTGAACTGAACAAGACTTAAACACATTCTGCATGCTATGTTGGCAGCACTGATTGTAAGGTCCAATTAGTCTAGAAATGATCTCATGCTCATTCGTAGGCAGTATTGTGGTGTGATTGCTGACTACTAGAAAAGAATGTTTGGCTACCTAGCCTAGGAACACTTTGCTTATGATCCCTCTATTGAGCCCTGAGATCAGTGGTTGAAGCATTTCTCTCAAGGCCTGATTAGTGGAACGCCCTCACCACCCCAACCCCACCCAGGGCTTACTGGGATTTCCTTCCTAAATTATTTCAGGCAATAGCATAAAGTATTTATACCAGAGTGAACCTTTTAAACTTCCCTCTGTACCTACACATTTCTTCCTCACCCCTCCCCTCCTTCTCTCATATACTTGGCTTTGATGCATCTATCCTGGCTTGTTAAACCACTGTTTTCCATGATATCAGAACCAAGAAACGATGATTTAATCACTACTTACAATCCAAGATAATAAACCCCAGCAAATTCTTAGGCCAATAAACCATTAGCTTTTGGCCTCTGATCCAGGCTAGGAAATTCCTCATTGCAGCTTCTTGGTTGCAGTGCACAATATCCATAAAAAGAGCAAAGTATTGGCCAGAGGCAGAAGAGCAGGAAGGGAAAGATCATATTGGTTCAAAAATAAGAGCAGCGCGAGAAGATTTGTCTCTGGAGCAACCGCAAGAAAACTTCCCCAAGCCAGTTCCAGAATACATAGTGGGAGAACTATCAGAACAAATCCTCAAAACAAAAGAGGTGCCAATTCTGCAACTCTTGCTTAAAGAGGAAAGAAAGGGTGTCAGAAAATGTTCCTTGTGGATTTAAAAGAAATTTGGGGAAAGACTGCTTCCTGTTACGAACAGCAGGGAACGATCCATTGTGGAGTGGTAGGCTGCCTCTGAATGCTAGTTAAACTAGATTCATAACCAGTGTTTGGAAGAAATCCTTGCTTAGAAATGGATTAGCGTTTGCTTTAAACTATGGCTCTTCCAATTTGATGAGTGGAAAAAGAAAATAAACAGTGGCAAATTCCTTTTCCTGGCTGTGCGAGAAGAAAAGAGTATATGAACCTGATGGTTAACTTAGGCTCCTTCCTGCCAGTCACCTTCCCCAGTGGGCTTCAAAAAATTAATATGAGCATTCTCACAAACAGCCAGAACCTAGAATACCTGCCCAATGCCCTAGCTCCTGACAATTATGAAAAAGAAATTATGCCAGGTGATCTCTAAAAAAAATACTCATCATCACTAATTTAGAACTTGCACACATTACCATTAAGTGTAACATGACAAAAAAATGAACAGAAGCATGTGGTTAGATTCACCAAATGTAGGGAGCATGTATTTTTTCTTTAATTTTAAGTCTGCTGTAGATTTAGAAAATGCTGTCACCTATCCTTGATGGATGCCTGCCACTCAAAATCAAAATGTAGAATCATTACTATCAGGTTTATTTCACTCTGCTATGAAATGCCATAAGTAAACATTTTAGCAATTTATTTTCAAATGACAGTTCTCACAAGTCTCATATATTTATTTGATGGATTTTTAACCCAGAATATCCTAAAAAATGCAGCAGACATGATATACAGTGGTACCTTGGTTCTTGAATGGCATGGTTGACGAACAAATCGGCTCCCGAATACCAAAAACCCAGAAGCAAGTGTTCTGGTTTTTGAATGTTTTTTCGAAAGCCGAAGCTCCTGCAGCCAATCAGAACCTGTGCCTTGGTTTTTTAATGATTTCGGGAGTCGAACGAACTTCCAGAACGGATTAAGTTTGAGAACCAAGATGTTGTTGTTGTTTAGTTGTTTAGTCGTGTCCGACTCTTTGTGACCCCATGGACTAGAGCATGCCAGGCACTCCTGTCTTCCACTGCCTTCCGCAGCTTGGACAGACTCATGTTTGTAGCTTCGAGAACACTGTCCAACCATCTCGAGAGAACCAAGATACCACTGTATAAGCTAAGAGGAGTAAAAGCAGGAAGGGGCTTACCATTGTTCTGGCCTTCGAGCAGCAACAGCATTGTTACATACTAGGACAGTGAAGGGACAGGGCCAGGAAGCATTGAGGTCAGGGCAGTTTGGACACACAAGCAGAGCCATTCCTGGTGATGTGCCTAAATTACACAATGCGTCAGAGGCCTTGCAAAGTCTCAGATGTGATCTCTGAGGCTCAGCAAGGCCTCGGACATGAATTTTGAGGCCCTGAGAGGTCTCGGACATGACTTCCAGTTCCTCCTGGAAGTTGCATCAGAGGCCTAAGATGTGACCACCAAGTCCATGCAAGGCCTCCAATGCAACTCTTGGGCCTCACAAAGCACTGAAGTAGCACCAGAGGCCTCACAGTGTGAGTGCTGAGCACCCACACAAATAATATGGGGCCCTGGGTGCCAGTTGCTGCCAGTGACCCCATTACATGGCAGTGGCAATGTACTTTTCCTACTTCTGTTCTATTTTCCAGGCCTCTTTAATTTTGCATTCTGCCACACTCCTGTGGCAGCCATTTTGTGACTGGCATTCTCAGCACTCTGAAAAATCAAAATGTGTTCCGTGGTCCAAAATGACTTGTGACCCGAGGGCTACATGATTATGTCACTGAGGTTAAATAAAGTCTGTTGAGAATGTGACAGCACTTATTCCAGAATAAGTCACATAGATAATTCTGGGCAATCAAGGATCATACAGTGTATGGATATTTGGCCAATCAGCTTTGGCTACATGGTTATATCACTTCATGGCAAGCAAACCTAACTGAGGATAAAGAATTTGAAAATATTTCATAGGCATTAAAGAAAAATTAGTGTTATTTCAACACTGTTGAAATTGTTCCAGAGAAACTGGGAGAATTTTTGCTTCAATCCTGTTTGGCAGCATAGCTGCTTTGTAAGATGCAGTGATAAAAATATTGGCCACATAAAATGCTACTATGCGCCTTGTGGTAGAACTTGTGGTCTACGAAACTAAGCCAAACACAGCCCACGAGGAGCTCAATAAAAACATAATTGCTTGTTGTTTTACTGGCCTATGCTAAAAGAGAAATGGCAAGCAAATTACAGATACATTCCATTAAAAGCATCACAGTAGCATTATTCTATTATACAAACACATCACATGAAAAATTCAACAAAACTGAACAAATGGATCAAATCTTAAGGCCTGGATTTCCTAGGTAGCTCAAGATCAAGCCAATTCTAACAGATAAGCACTTGTTAAGATAAGTCATGCCATCTGCACTTTTGTCATTGCTTTGGTTGCTAGAAGGTGAATGCAGACTCATTCAGCTCAGGGAACATCATGTAGCAATGGCAACATTAAGCATTCACTTAAGACATCATGGCTCAAAAGTCCATCTAACAATAGTAGGGTGTGTTGCTTATGAAAACTGGATGAAAATTAAACACATATCTTATATATCTCTTGAATACCATTTGCAGCAATAAAAGGGGTGTGAAGTGGATTCTATTAATACTTAGGCAGTATGTTTGTGGGGTTTTTAACTGTCATCTGGATGAAGTGCAATATAATGTTGCATTGTTATAATACTATTGTGATTATAAAATGCTAATTTAAAATATTTATATGTTAATTAAAGTATAATGTCAGGAGTCCTGAGCTGTGACTACAATCAGCACAATTCACTGCTCTGTGTTTTTACAAGGCCTGTGAATTGTGCAAATTGCAGAAACAGCATGGAATTCTTATTGGCCAATCAGGTATTTCAGTTACCCCAGCCCAATTTATAATGCATTCAGCTGTGCTATACTGTGCAAATGTGACTTCTTCAGTGGCAACATTAATACTGTAAAGTATGGCCATAAAACTGGTACTGCCTCAGCATTAAAAAGTTTGTAGAACACAGTTTGTGCCACAAATTAAAAGAAAGAAAAGCAATAAAGCTGTTCAATCTATATTATGGCATGCAGAAAAGCTACACTGAAGGAGTTGAAGGAACAATAGGTGGGGGAGTGGTACAACCCTTACTGCATCAGCTTAAGGTAAGATGCATGTTCTTCCTCTGTTTGCACTTGTCCAGAACAGAGATGTTGTTGCTAGTTAACCTATCAGAACCCAACACTGCTGGGAGCAGTTTGGTTACACAGGGAGAGGTGGGGGTAGGAAGGTTTACTCGTGTTGTCATCTCATGTTTATCCCGAAGTAGCACTTTTAGCCAAGAAGAGCTGATAGGAAAGTCTTTCTCTCCACATCAAAGGGGCTCTGGGTTGTATTTAGCACTGCATAAGCTGAGTTCCCTAAAACACTAGGACTTTCCTTTCATTTTCTCAACCTGCGCACCCCCAAAATATGCTCCAGGGGGACCCCCCTCAACCCTCTGGGACAGATCTTGAGCGTGTGCGAGTGCTGCAGAAGAGATGATTCTGGGCAATCCTCTGCCACAATTTCACGTTTCGTTTGCTTAGTTGAAAGGTTTCATTAAAGGAAAAATACTTTAAAACCTGGATCCATATGCCATGTGGGGATTTTTCTTAATGGTTTTTAAAAAATAAATAAATAATAATACATACATACATACATACATACATACATACAACATTTCAGCTTTTGTTTGCTTAATCTGAGCATTTTCTCCTATGCACAAACAAATAAATATAACAGAGTAAATACATTACTCCCACAATCAAATGGTGGTTTTAGATTATTTTGAATTACTCTATTAAAACATATGAATAATTACAAGAACTGGAGAAGTAAAAACATTGACTGGTGTATCTGGAATAATTTGTTTCTCTTACTGTATTCTTCTATTATACGATATGTTGTACTCTTCAAATATAGTAAGTCATTAAAAATAAAAATTTAAATTTTGTAACAATGTCTAAATACACTGGACACCGTATATAAAATTGTGCAGTACAATGGGGAGACAGTGTAAGCAAATGCCTTGAGCAGTGGCAGCAATGGCAAATGGTTCCCAGTGCTGTCAAGTCTATGCCAACACTGACAGAATGGACCACATTTTCATGAAACCTTATTTTTCATTAAAAAGATATTGTCAATAATAGCCTGACCCTTCACGCTGCCTAGACATGTACATTCTAAAGCTTTGATCCTAAGCACACCTACTTGAGTGTCTAGAGTTGAGGTTTAATTGTACCAAAAAGATTAACCAATCCTGTTAAAAAGGAGTCAAGAAAGACAACCTAAGCAATGAATAATTTCAGCTAGTATGTAGCCAAACCAAGTAACAACCCTTATTTTATTTTTTTTTAAGGGAAGTTTAAATACAAAGTTACCTTCTTTAGGATGGATATTTTCATTTTATATAAATGTTACAAGCTACTTACAGCATATACATAATGACACCTATGCTCCAAACATCACACTGTTGGCTATAGTCATGTGCACTGATCACTTCTGGGGCTGCCAACCAAGCAGAAAGAATATTATTAATAATACAAAAAAATACTTTTAAAATGCTTAAAACAAAGCATGTGCTGATGAGATATACTTTATTCCTCCCCGAAGCAAAAAAGAAAAGCAGCAGATGTTGAGATTAATAATGTACAGCCCTTAACAATTCATGCTGATGTGTCCTCACTTTGATCATTTAGGAATGATGACATTGTGGCTAAGTAATTGCATTATTGGTTTTCTTTCCAGCTATAAATTGAGAAAACGTTGCTTATAAAATACTGATAGCAAATGCTTCATGACACCACATAAACACATTTCCATTTAGTAAACAAGTGTAGTGCATAAGGTTATATGCTGGATTTAAATACAGAAGGGGTTCTTTAAATATTCATTTAAGACAAATTTGAAAATGGGTAACATCAATTTAAAATATAAACATGCTTTTGGAAATAAAAAAATGGCTTCGAATTATCTGTTTTATATATTTATACATGTCCTACGACTGAAAAATGTACATAAAATTTTCTCACTAATCACTGGCTTGGCTCAGATGATCACATATCAGGTTACTAAATGGAGATATGCACAAACCTTTTCCCTGCACATTCTGCCCTTTCACAGCTCCCTTTCTGTTGGCCATGATTAATCCAAAAAGTTTCTAATTAGCCAAAGTTTCCCATTTCTCCAAACCAGGAAATTACAGTCACAAGTTTCAAGTTTGTTTAAGAACCTACTTCTTCCAAAGTGGGTAAGCACAGTATCTCAGTTAAGACAACACATGAAAAGACTTTCCAGTTTCATAGCTGCATAACATGAAGAGAGAAGGGGCTGCATACACAAATAAAAAGCTTGTTTTCTATGTGTTTGATTTCAATACACTTAAAAAATTGCTTAAGGGTAAAGTTAGCAGTGCCTAATCTACTGTCCTCCAGTACAAGGTTAGTTCTCTTTGTCTGCCAAGGACATTTCACCTCAGAGAAAAGGGCAAGGTAAATACTCATGCATCAGTACTTCATCCGTTTTGACACTGAAGCAAGTTAACTTTAATTGTCTTAGTTTAGCATGTGTTACATAACCAACGGGCTGGCCTTCAAAACTTATTTAGTGTGTGTCACAGCTAGCAGAAAACATCCTTTTACTACATTCAGCTCTTGCTTTGAAGCTGTAAAGCAATTGCTAAGAGAGCATAAAATCTCATTTTGACATGCTATTATAATATCACAGCTATTGGATCAGTCTTGGTTTCAGGGACGCGGACTTATAAAAAATATTGGGGGGGCCCGGGAAAGCTCATGAATAATAAATAAGCTCATGAATATGCAAATAAAGTGGCGCCGCCTCCTCGTGAGCGAATAGGGGAGAGCGTGCTGCGCCTATTAATCAGCTCCAAAGGAAATTGGGTGGAGCTTTTGCTCGGGAGGGAGGGCAGGAGGCATGCAGCCCGCCCCTCCCTGTGCATTTTGGGCTGGGGAGGGGCGGCGATGGCGCTCTGCTGGAGGGGCGCCGGAGATTATTGGGGGGGCGGAGCCCCCCCAAACGAATTTTTGAGGGGGCTCGGGCCCCCTCAAGCCCCATGGAGTCGGCGCCTATGCTTGGTTTTAAACCAAGGGTCATAACAAGGCAGGAAACCTGATGTATGGTATCAAACCCAGGTCAACAACATAGCTTAAAATACAGAATGCAGAATAGAAAAGCCAATTACAGAGAGGGTTGTCACACACAATACTGATTTCTAGATCAGAAAGTCACCATAACAAGCTGTATGCAGCTTCACAATGTCCTTGCCTGCTGAGCCAATGCAAAGATAGTCATTTATATGAAACAAGTGGGGCCTTGCAACAAAATGTTGCAGTGTGGGGTGCATCTGTTTGGGGCTTGACACTTCCTGTCCTATTATTATTATTATTATTATTATTATTATTATTATGCCAAAGCAACGATGGGCAAAACGAAGACATTGTATATATACATCTAAACAAATGGAAACCACCTATTCACAGACGGTGGGCTACAAAATAAAGTTTTATTCCATTCAAATGCCAGTCTTTCATGTGATGAAACTAAATGGGAATACTACCATATGAAGCACTGAACTTACCCATGTAGATAGGAGTCCCACAGGTAGACTGGAACATGCTTTCACTTCCTCCCATCTTTTGTACAGCTAAACCAAAATCAGTCACCTACAGGAAACAGAACTCAACTGTCTTGAAAATTCTCTGCTGGTATGTAGTTGCAACTCTTTTATTCCTCTGAAGAGCTCATTGTTCATTGCAAAACCACTTCAGAGAGACCTAACGGAATCTGACTAGATTTCCCAAATGATCTCCTATAACAGCACACCTAAAGAAGAGAAAGCTCTGCACCAATCCTCCTATAAATATTCAGAGCCGAGTTTGAAACAACTTTAATACTTACACTGCAAATTGCACTAGCATTTGAGCATATGAAAAGTGATGAGCTTATTAATGAGATTCAAGCTAAGTGTGTGCTGCTATAGGGTCTGATCAAAGCACTTTAAAAAGCCGAATATTTTAGTTATGAGATCATTGGGGGACATAAATATGGGGAACAGCAACAAGAGGGAAAGAAGCCAGGAAGGAAGTCAGACAGGAAAGAATCAGGAGATAAATGATTTGCTGGGTGTTTGGGACACACTCTTCCTCTCCACATACAGAGGAGACTCCACAGGTGCACAAGATGGGGTGAAGCTGGGGCAGACTCATCCACCCTTCTCAACTGCTATTCAACAGCAGCCTAATGCTGAATGCTACCTCAACTGCCAGAACACTATTATGAGAGGGCAGAGACTGGGGAAGAAGAAGAAGCCCAGCCCAGATTTGTATCCAGGAGCAGCTCACCAGGTGGAGTGGAGCTACTATGCTAGCTTCCTGGCAGGTGGAATGCTGTTACTTAGGGAGGTATATGGAGAGGTGTGAGGCAGCGAGGATGTTGGCATGGCACTAGATCAGTTCTGCAGGTCTGTTTGCACCACATCAACCTTTCTGCCATCTCAGTCCTCCTGGTCGGGAAGCCAACATTAGTGGCTCCCCTCCTTCTGGTGAGCCAATTCAGCTACTACCTCCCCCCACCTTTCTTGTTTTCCTGGGGCCTGACCTCCCTAGTAGCACAAGCTCCACTGTGTATAGTGCTTATTCCTGTGCCTAGCAAGAGACACACATGTGCACTGAGTCCAGGATACTGCATAGGAGATAGGATGTGAAGTGCCTGGGGCTGTTCTACCGTGGCCTGCCACACTGCTGTGTGCCTGGCACAGAGCAGTACACAGAGCAGTATTGTCCCAACAGAAATACACAAACATACCTGAGGAAAAGTTAATAACTACCTTGCTGCCTCCCCCCTCCTCTTTTAATGAATCCTGAGAGCATCTTGAAAAGCTAAGCTACAGAAATATTTCACATTTTTCCACTGTACAATGAAGCATTCCCCCCCAAAAAAAACAACTTTTGTTGTTAGTAGAACAAGAATGTCTTCATGCCATTTTTGTTCTTCCTTACAGAGGTTCTCTGTATTAAAAAGTAACTTTTCCTAGATAAATGACCAGTCCACACAAGGACCAGTCCACCAGCTGCTTCCTTGCACTTATTTGCAGTTGTTCGTGAGAGATCACAAGCAGAAATATAGTAATATTATTTTCTTCCAAGGGGGTCAGGGAAGATATATGTGAGGTTTTTTCCTATTTTATCCTCACAACAACCCTAAAATATAGGTTTGCCTGCAATGGATTGACTGACCAAAAGTCACCTGGTCAGTCACTTATGGCTCAGTGGGGATTCAAACTCAGATGTCCCTGGTCCAAGTACAACATTCTATACACTACCCCAAAATGCTGCCCTAAAAGGTAAACTAGTGGCTCGAGGGTATATTCAGCAGCTACTCCTGTGACTGGCAGCTTCTAGAGCAACTGCTACCACTATCTGTATAACGCTAGAGCAGAAAACCATATCCATGGTAGGACTGGGAAGAAGAAAAATAAGGGACGAAACACAATAGAAATGAGTGAGTAAAAAAGAAAAATTGTATCAGTTAAATTATATGGCATAAAGATCCGTGAGGCTACCACCTTATTGAAGCTAAGCAGTTCTGGGACTGGTTAGGGCCTTGAAGAGAGACCACATGCATGGAGCCTTGAAAGGTGGAATAGAAATGTAAGTAAGTAAACAAATAAGTATGCCAGAATATAGGACTTTTCCTGCCAAGCCCAACTGCTGGGATTCAGTTTCTGCTGGCCTAATCTACTAAGTTTGAAAGGGATATTGGTAGTAGACAGAGACCCAAATGCAGGTGGGTAGCCATGCCTTGGCCATTTCCCTGTGGGTGGGACAGACCCTATTCCAGTATGCTGGTCTAGGGTGTTGAAAGCCTCAGGGTTTCTTAAGGATACCCTCACACACATACACAATAGTCTTTGTGGGATACCAATCCTCACTGAGCCCAAAGACCACATTTAAAAGTCCAAAGCAAAATGTCAGTTGTGACAGCAATATGGCACTTATGGGCAACATTCAAAATTGGGGGAAACTACAAGGATGGTGAAGAAAACAAGGCATAGGGTAGGAAGATCACAGAGCATAGTCCCAAAGCAGCCAAAACAAACGGGTTTTCTCTTTAGTCTTCCCAGGAAAAACAAACAAACAGAAGCTTGAATGTACCACATTGACACCAACACAGGGGAGGTAACAAGGCTGCACAGTCACATCAACAAGCTGTCATAGCCCAGTCTGCAGAGCCAGGGGAAACATGACTGTCCTCGCTCTTCCTCTCCCTCCCAGTGCACAGCACAAACAACCCCCAGCTCGAGAATTATTGTGCATTTCTCCATGCAGCTACAAGCAAAAGTATGTTCAGAAGCAAAGACATGAAGAGAAATGCCTGGTGGGATGTTCTTGTGAACTTGTGCAAAGAAAAGTTCGGATTCACACAGAACACTCTAAGTAAAATCCAATTTATCATAGTGTGCTGCTTTAGTTACTGCAGGTTGAACCTCTGTGCTTCAGTTCTATGTGTCAGCATGCACTTTTTATACAATCCTCACAGCCATTTTATAACAGCAATAACAATTTTAAGTAAGGATAAAGTAATATATAATTTAGCAACCATCAAGTTCCAATTATTTCCACACAAATAAATGAGTGTAAGTTCTTGATACATTTAATGCATTTAGGTAGTAAATACTTATAATATCCAAAGTCTACAAAATAGAAAGTAGCTGATATGTAAAGCATCATATGTTTTTCAAAATTACTAAAATGTTTAAAATAAATTGGCAGTATGCATAATTCATACTAATTACAGCTCCCCAGCTCACTCTTGCTAATGGCTTGGAACTATATCCAAAAAGGTATAAGAATAACACAGTACACTTCTAAAAACATTTCTTTTTAAATAGCCTATAACTATACTACTCTTCACTCAACAAGAACTTTCTTCAATGGCACTTGACTCCTACATTCTTGTCAATTGTTCTTATCTCAGACCTTTTATTTTTGGCTTGATTACACCATTATGTTTCAGTTCAAAAGCTACTAATAGGCATTTACTTGGAAACTTGACTTCTGATTCCTGGGTTTTAAAAAAAACACAGGCAAAAGTACTGCTTAAAGTAAAGTGTTGCAATTTCTGGGCTTACCTTTATATTTAATTTCATTTCATTTTCTTCATCAATGTCACTGCTTTTAACTAAAATGTTTTCCAATTTCAGATCTCTGTGAACAATATCTGTCAAGATGGAGAACAAAAAGTAAGTGTTATTTATCAATTGCATTGAAAATATTCTGACATAAATGTTTTAAACCCTTTTGATTGAGTAATTTATGAGCTACACTTTTAGTGCATTTTATCCTACATTAGTGCACGTTGCAGACACCACTTTCTTTTATAGAAAAAGTCTGGTCTGTACATTCCAAAACTGGATCAAACTTAGATCCGTTCTTCTAATAAAGGGGAAATCATAATTTTGAATAATATGATTTGTCATTTGATGCACTTTAAAAGTACCCATTTGTAAAATTAGCATATCAAAGGAAATCATCCAGCTAGCTTCCTGTGCTCAGAAGGACAAAGCATAAGGTTCACCAGAAGTAAAGATGAACAACTCTTTCTCATTTTGTCCCATTTCCCATTCACAGTTGTGCTCTCAGTTATTATCCATAATCAATACGTGTATTTCGTATTATATTTTTGTAAGAAAAAAAACACTGCAATGCCGCAGCTTAGCTGGCTGGCCAACTGCGGCACAATGGCAGAACAATACTCAGGCGAGGGTAGGGTGGGTTAGGTGAGCTGTAAGGGGAGGGGGGCATGGGGTAGGAAGAGTGTGCAAGGGGAGGAGGTAACAACAACAACAAAATTATTATTTATACCCCACCCATCTGGCAGGGCCTCCACAGCCATTATGGGCGGCTTCCAACAGGATATTAAAAACACAATAAAACTTCAAACATTAAAAACTTCCCTAAACAGGGCTGCCTTCAGATGTCTTCTAAAAGTCAGATAGTTGTTTATTTCCTTGAAGTTTGACGGGAGGGTGTTCCACAGAGTGGGCGTCATTGCCAAGAAGGCCCTCTGCCTGGTTCCCGTAACCTCACTTCTCGCAGGGTGGGAACCGCCAGAAGGCCCTCAAAGCTGGACCTCAGTGTAAGGGGGATGGAGTGGCAGTTGAAGGCCCCATCAGGGAATGAGGAATGGCAAGGGTGCATGGGGTGGGGTTCGTGAGAAGAGCAAGCAGCCACTAGTAATCACATGCTAATATATCTATATCTCTCAGAGCAGTATGTTGGAAAGGATTGGGCTCTGCGGCACTGCCCAGAAGGGTGCATGAGCTATCACCTCTGTCCACTTGCTCACTCTTCATCAGGTAAGGAGAAGAAAGGGCAGCAGTTTACAAGCTGTTCCCACTACTGGTTCTTTCTCCAGGGCTCAGAATCCTGGCCTATTTGCAACTATGTCTCCAGCCAGGTGTTGCTGCTGTTCAGTTCAGGTGAGTTCCAGCTGAAAAAAAGCCTTGCTGGCAGGTATTACTGAAACATAGGTGGGTGAGCAGGGCGTATTCAGTTCAGCATCAACTCCGGATAAACAGAGACAGGGAGGATCACTGTTCTGTGTAGGATTCAATCTCTCTCACCTAGCAAACCCTTCAGCGACATTTCCTCCTAAGATGGAGCTCCCATTAAGGTGGTCTGCCCCTAGACCTGCTCGGTATCATGTCTATGGAAATCAATAAAATGTATAGGCTCTTATTTATGTATGTCACCACCACGGCAAGAATTCTGATAGCCAAAAATTGGAAAAGTAATATTATCCCCACCAAATCTGACCAGTTGGCAAAAATTTCTGAATCCTTACATTTTGCAAAATTAACAGGGAGAATAAGAGGAAACACTATTCAAAAAGGCAATAAAGAATGGTCCATTTTCAAAGAATATCTCAAAAATTATATGGGCAATGCAAGTCTCCTGGCAGATACAGATTAAATCTTGTAAATAGAGGGAAGGTATAGTAAAAGAATAACAAAAAGGAAAAAGTAGAAGATTCAATGTGATATGCATACAGAGTTAAGATTGGTAACAAAGCATAAAGAGAAGAGTTGGAAGCCTAACACGTGTGGTGTAATGTTGGACATGTAGGTATGTAGGGTATGTATTGTATGTAATGTATTGTATGGTATTTGTTGAGTTTATATTAATTAATATATAATAACAATAACAATAACAATTATTTTTTTTAAAAAAAGAGAGAATGAGGGATACACTGAACTCTACTTTTTAAATTAACTTTGTCATACATTGTATAAAATATTAAGCTCTTGCCTAAGATGAACTAAAATGTTTGTTGAAAATTATAGCTCAGATCCAATGAATTCTTTGTGTTTGTTTGTTTGTTTTCTATTGTTTAATCACCCCCTGAGATACTTCTCTAGGTGATTTAGAATGGAAGTTAAAAACAAAGTATAGAAGACAAAAATACAAATAATGCAATCATTAAATGTCACAGAAAAATCCAGAACAGCACAAATGAGAAATTTAGCTTTGAAGGATAATTCTCTCATTATGATTTTTACACAAAGTGCCCCAATAATAATAATACCTTTATTGTCATTGTACAACCTATGTACAATGAAATTAAACAAGCCTCCCCCCCCCAATACTCAATCTCTCATCGAACAACACACCACTTCGCAAGTCAATTTCGCTATGTTATTTTCCGTTCAATAGCCTAACAGCCCACAGATAGAAGCTATTTTTCAGCCTGTTGGTAGGGCTGATTATACTTCTATATCTCCTGCCCGGGGGTAGAAGATTAAAGAGGTGATGGCCAGGGTGTCAGTCATCCCTGATAATTTTTCTCGCTCTCCTAAGGCAACGATCCCTTGTGATGTCATCTAGCGAATTCAAGGGACAGCCCATGATATCATGTGCTGTATTCAACACCCTCTGTAGAGACTTTATGTCCATGGCTGTCAGGCCAGCATACCACACTGTGATACAATATGAAAGGACCCTTTCTATTGTGGACCAGTAAAAGGAGTTCATCAGTTGTTGTTTAACATTATTCTTTCGCAAGACCCTGAGGAAATGGAGTCTCTGTTGGGCCTTTCTGACCACGTGAGTTATGTTGATTTTCCAAGAGAAAATATCACTAAGATAAACTCCCAGGAATTTAAAGGAGGAGACTCTCTCCACACCCCGATATACAACAGGACAGGTTCCCCTCTCTTCCTCCCCCTCTTGGACTAATACACAAATCAAAACATTACTATCCTTTGCATATTGCACTTTGTCAAATGTTGCAGCTCTCAACCCAAACAACATATCATAGCTACATAAAAAGTAAGTATTTTAGACATCTATATATCCTATATGTTCATAATGCCTCGCCGAAGACAACATTCTGGCAGCTGCATTCTGCACTTATTTCCTGAAAAAAGTTACTGCTGTAAAGAACGAAGAAAAATAATTAGAAAAAATAGGAGAAAGTAATGGCATTTTAACTAGTAAATGAGCAACCAAAAATGTGTGTGTTAAAAGAATGTTGCTTTTCAGTTGATAGGGCCACAATTATACTATGAAACAAGTAAGAGATACAAAATTGTGATGATGAGATATAATAATCTATAAGAACGTAATAATCATCACATTACCTCTTTTGTGAAGATATGCTATTGCTGAGGCAAGACTCTGAATGATGTGCCGTGTCTCATTCTCTGTAAATTGACCTTTTCTTTGTAGAATCTCTCTAAGTTCTCCATCCTCACATAGCTCCAATACAAGGTACACACGCTAACATTAAGAAATAAACAATATAAATGTGTGTGTGTGTATGTGTATAATATGAAAGTATTAATATATATTTTCAATCTAAATGCCTCAAATATTTAGTTAAAAATAGAAAAAACATTTTTGTTTTACAAAGATTGAAGGATTAATATTCTTCATATTTTTGAACAACCAACTACAGTGGTACAGTGGTACCTCGGAGGCCGAATGGAATCTGTTCCAGAAGTCCATTCGATTTCCAAAACATTCAGAAACCAAGGCGTGCCTTCTGATTGGCTGCTGAAAGCTCCTGCAGCCAATGAGAAGGCATGGAAGCCATGTCGGACGTTCGGCTTCCAAAGAACATTTGCAAACTGGAACACTCACTTCCAGGTTTACGGCGTTCAGGAGCCAAAACATTTGACTTGCAAGGCGTTCGGGACCCAAGATACAACTGTATTCTTAAATGTTACAACATTCAAAAACTGAAGATATAAAGTGATATTGGTTATAAGTGCTTTTCAAAGAAGAGTCATTCAAGGTGCAAAATGTGGAAGTGGGAGGCAGGCACTAAGGACCCCTTGCACCGCTCACTTCCCTGATAAACAGCTTCTTTAAAGGTCTTTTACTCCTAGTGGGACTATATCAGAGCACCACTAGGTGGCTTGGGAGCTTCAGCACCCTCTCCCCCTCTATAAAGCCCCATTTCCACTTTATAGGAACTGAATGGCAACACAATTCTAACACAACCATCTGTCATCATCACACATGGTTTGCACCTTTGGGTTAACTGCATTATAGGATTTCTATTGATAATGTCTTACCTTGGGAGTCTCAAACACCTGTTCAAGATGTATTATATGCTCATGGTTTACTGTTTTTAGGATGCTCACTTCCCTTTCAAGTAGTTTTACTGCAGAACTCCCCGCCTTTAAGAGAGAGAGAAACACATTTCTTGCGGCAGCTTCAAAGTCAGGTTCCATAGCCTTAGTCCTGTCAAACACCCCTACCAGAACTTCATGAGACAAACACATAAAAAACTAAACCAAGCCAAGGTAGGCATGGTTGTTACATTCATAAGAGGAATGATCAAACTATCCCAATATTTGCAATAAGATACAGACAGGTAAGTGAAGAGAGAGCAAGAGGTATGGCACACATGAGTTGCAAGATACACAGAAAAATAAGCCTATAAACCATCTGAAACCATCAGAGGCACAAGGAGTACCAAGAATAAAAGGCTCTATATTACTCCAATTAGATGTTACTTGTCCTAATTTTTTTGAGACTTGTGGAAGAGACCAATATAATTTTTCTTTTTTTTTAACGTATTCAATAAAATCCCACTGACTCACAGGCCTCTGTGGTTGGGTGATGAACCGGTGCAGGATAGGATCATGCACTGCGTAACTCAGTAATTACAAAATTGATTCTGCAATTATTTATCCAAATATGATTCCTGGAATTAAAATATTCAGAACATACTAGGCAGTTCGAAACCACTTATTTCATTTGAACCATTTGTTTGAAAATGGTAGCATTATTATTATTATTATTATTATTATTATTATAATATTTGTATATCACCCTTTATCCATAGGTCTCAGAGTTGTTCACGGTATTATGTCTCATGCTTTCTGAGAAATGAAAGTTGAAGAAAACTGATGACAGCATGAAAATCAACATATTCACCATTTGCAATGTGAATTTGGGGCACATAAATGTATTGTGGTGATTAATTTGTAATAAATAATATTATCATTGTCTGAAAAATAAAAACTTATTCTCCAATACAATTAAAGCCTACCTTTTCCCGGTTCACTTTCTTGATTGCCCACTTCATGCCTGTTTCTTTGTCTGTTACTTCAATCACCACACCAAAGCTGCCTTGTCCTAATTTCCTTCCAAATGAATAAATTTGCTGCAGTAATAAAAAGAAGAATAAGAAGAATAAAATTAACAAGTCGAATATTACAGAGGAACACTCAGTAAGGACTCATCCAGACTTGGTCTTGCCCCACCACTTTCCCCTAGGGAAACCCAATCTTTACTGCTGAATTGGACCAAACGCCAGCTGGGCTTTCTGCGGATTGACATTTGCTGTGATTCATTGGTAAAGAGCAGGTTTTCTCAGGGAAATCTGTGGGACAAGGGCAAAATCGCTCAGACTTTCTAGACACAGGTTCACCTGTGCTTTCTAGGCGCAGGTAAAGTGAAAGTGTGGATGGGCCCCTAAGTTATGTCAATAGTCAAATATATGAGAAAAACATCCTCAAGACTGATGAATTTCACTAAATATTCAAATCCTTATTACTGAGGAAAACTGAGTTTTGCAGGACATCAAAAAACCAGATTGTGATGACGGGGGAGTGGGCTGACAGCAATGGAGTGTGCTTTGCACTTGAAAAAGAAGGCACTCACAAAACAAATGTTCTAGGATGCTTTCGGGAAAATATACGGGTCTTCCATTTTATACCGTGGGGCGAAAGAATCCTAACTTTACATACATGCTGATGGTGACTGATCAGGAAAGGGATATTGGGGGTGTGGTGGATAGGACAATGAAAATATCAACCTAATTTGCATGCCAGGGGATCATTAGGAAAGAATAAAAAACTAACCTGCCCATATCATAATACTTTATACAAATATATGGTGTGGCTGCACATGGGTTACAGCGCACAGTTTTGGCCACCACCGATTGCAAAGAATATTGTAGAACTGGAAAAGTTGCACACGAGGCCATTATGCGTCATCACTATGGTGGCTGAGCTGTGCCTCTGAGCTCTCTGTTCTCCTACTTTCAATGCCCGCTGGGTTCTGGGAGAGGGGAGATCTGGAATGCTTCCTAAAGACACTGAGTCCGTCAGCTGTCTCTCCCCTGGTGGTTCCTCTTCCTCCTCCTCCTGTCGCATTATTTCCCAGCTTTCCCCCTCATCTGCCTCTGAGCTGTGACCTCCCTCAAACCTCTGTTGTAATTCTGAACTGTCTCCTCCTTCTCTGGAAGGGTCTGGCTGGGGAGGCGGTCTCCACCATTCCTCCTCTGCCCAGTCTCTGACATCCAGCCTGATGAAGAGTGTTGAGAAACTTGAAAGCTTGCTTTTGACATTGGGATTGCTGCATTACAGAGGGTTGGACTTGACGACCCTTTGGATCCCAATCTGCAGTTCTGTGATTCTATGATATTATGTCAGTCAGGATGGTCCTTATACAGGCATTACCACTCTCCCACCCATGGACCAACGCAGCTATTTACACAGCTATTTTTGCCATCTTCTAATTAAAAATTGTACCAAAAGTCTGGAGGAATGCACAGCTACGAACCTGAATTGCTGCTCCATCTTCTATTCGCGTGTGAGGAACTTTGAAATCTGTATTACTGCCACGAATGCCTGGGGTGGTAATGAGCATTTTCCTCTGAGAGTCTGTTAGTTCTGACTTTGGCATCTTTAGGGACATAAAAAGAGAAGCATGAAATTAAAATACAAACCATTGTTTTAAAAGGCTATATGCTATTTTATGTACCTTCCGGCACATGCAGTAAGTTATATGTAAGTTATTACAAGAAAACGAGAAAATATATGAAGTGGGACGAGACCTAGAAAAGGTGAACTTATTGGATTTCAAAACAACAGATCGCAAAACAATCAAAATGTATAATGGAGCAGGAGGCAGCCAATGTAGTAGCTGTTGTTGAACTTCAACTTGCCTCAGCCCCATCTAGTATGGCCAATTGTAATGGATAGTGGGAACTGAAGTCCAGTAACACTTGGAAGTCACCACATTGGCTAACCCTTTGTCGGAGTATGAATAAGTGGAAAGAAAGAGAGTCTAAAGACACCTTATATGAAAATATGTATTCCTTTTTCCTTTCTGATGCACTTGATCTATTTCAACAAGGAGTTCCAACGTAATTTAAGCTTGCATTGCTTTTTTATGTTCAACTTCAGTTCTAGGAAATGTTTGCTGAAAAGCAAGTCTCACTCACGGAATCCAGATTCTGCAGCATGTCTCCCAAGAAGCCTCTCTATTTCCTTGTTTTCTACAAGAGGACTAGTATGTCTAGGCAGCAGGTGAGCAGTTACCCCCATGTACCACCAGCTGAAAGAGCAAAAGCCACCCTGAACAGCACCATCCTGCATTGATAGCTGATAACACACCAGCTATGGTCCCAAAAGGATTCATTCCCTAAGGGTGATGCACATGCTTCGCAGGGGAAGGTCCATGGCTCAGTGGTGGAGCATACGCTTTTCATGTCAAAGGTTCCGGGTTCCATCCCTGGTATTTTTAGGGAGGGCTGGGAAGGATCCCTGCCTGAAACCCAGAGAGGATTTGCTAACCAGTGTCAAGAATATTGAGCTAGATGGACTGAAGGTCTGGCTTGTTAAAAGTCAGTTTCCTATGTTCTATGTACTTATAGTCAACCCAAGACCCCATATTCAATACAAGTCTCAAGACTGGGAAGAAACTCAATCTGAGTCCTGGAGAAGCTACTGCCAATCACAGTAAAGAGACAGTACTGAGCTAGATGAACTAATGATCCAATTCAATTTTTGTTTTTTTATTCCAAAATATTTATATAGCAGTATGGCAAAGTCAATGCACAATAAAACTTTTTTTTCATAAAGCAGGTTCATATATTCATAATCTAATAGAAACATAGAATTGTAGAGTTGGAAGGGACCGTGTTGGAATAAAATAGGGCAATCTGATTCACGCTGCACCTATATAAGCCAACCAAGCAGAAGAGCCTAATGGCTGCTTTTAAAAAATCCTTTTTAAACTGATCCTGGACAATATATATATAAGGAATTCCACTAAATAAACATTAGTGGAAATGTATTTGTATTTACAACTGTAAATGCTACTGGTGTTAGACAGCCTAAATAAAGAATCTAGAATTACTAGGGTTTTAAAAAATTCCTAATGCCTAATACTTTTTTTTTCTTTATCAAGCAGAGTAAAAGATTATTCTTTTTGTGTGAATCAGCCAACTGGGATACGCTAACAAAAAATGACACTGCATTAAGTGCTTGCATTAAGTTAATCAATTAGATACTAAATTAATGAAGTAGCTGATGTTGGGAAAAAGACAAGTAAATGTATAACTAAGAGAATAAAATGATGCTAAAATTATTTGTGCTAATATAATATCCATCTTACACTAAAAAAGTAAAGAAATCTATAACAATAATGGATTTCATATATGGCAATTTTAAAGTTAATGGTCCTGCTTTTCAAAACATCCTATGCATTCTACTGACCATCCGAGATGTAAAACTCAGTTTCCAACAGTAAAATGAAGTAATTCTTTTTGATTATACTATATGACATAAAGAGTATAATCATAGGTTACTATATTATCTTTTTATATCAGATGTAAATCACTCGTGGTATGTTCAAACAAAGTTTATCTGAGATTGTTCAAAGTTTTCATCCCGCTTTTTAAGAGCACTACTTTAAGGAGGCCAATTTGTGTTAATTGACCAAATTATGGGTAATCCTCTGGAGTTTCAATCTTAAGTGCTTTCCCATCCCATTTGTTTTGAATGTATATTTATTTCAGGGGATTTTTTTTTTGCAACAAAAGCTTTTAAAGATTTGTGCTCTACAAGTTTCAAATACTTGTGTTCTCAAATAAATGCAGTACACAGCACTGGACTGAAAACAAAAGAAAATGTCCTTTGTACATATTTTCTATAAAAAGAATCAGGGGAATAATAGAAATTTAGGTCAATCACCACTTCTGCTTAATTTCTCCACACAATTATTGTTACTTTTGAAGATTGTGAGATTAAATCTGAGCTATTATTTCAAAGAAAATCAAATGATTCAACATTTGTACATTCTCAACATCAGCAGAAACTGATCTCATGATGTCACCCCAGTTGTTGCAAGGGGGACTTGTTTCATCTCTCTGCTGTCACTGATCAAAGTACCATGCCTATTAGGTTTTAAAAGACAAAGGTTAGGGAGCTTGCGTTTCAGAGGTGAGGGACCGGCAGAAAGGGCTTCTGGGAATAGTGGGTGCTTTTTCTGACGCCCTCAAATTGGCCTGAGCAGGGTGTGGGAGGGATCAAATAATAAGTCAGTTTAAGGCAGCCTTTCTCAACCTGTGGGTCCCCAGATGTTGTTGAACTACAATTCCCATCACCCCTAGCTAGCAAGCCCAGAGCTCAGGGATGATAAGCGTTGTAGTCCAACAACATCTGGGGACCCACAAGTTGAGAACCGCTGGTCTAAGGCAAGTTCTGGACAGCTCACTCATCCTTAGCAGTCACCAGAACACTTGTAGGTTTTTCTCTGTGGAGCTACCAGACAGGCTCCTGCACCTTTGCAAGATGACAGGCAGGCAGCTGCTTAAACAGGTAAAGGCATATCCAACATGTAGAAGAAGCCACGGTGAGCGTAACACCTGCAACTCTTCTGCCTGTTGTTATGCAGTTTTCAATGGCAACGAAGCCCCGCTGGGACAAAAGGCTGGCAATCCCACCTGCCTTTGCTTCAGATGCTATTCCATATGTCATGCCGTTCAATAAAAAGATTTCATACAGCTGCCATTTCTTTGTTACTGGGAGTTAGCGGATAGGGATCTCTTCTCCCATCCTAGTTCAATCTCACTTCAGGATGAGAGTCTTAACTGGGAGGGGTGCCAATGCTTTTTCTACTACTGGGATTTAAGTTCAGTGAGCCCTCCATTCAAAGCGGACAGCCTCTCTGAACCCACAAGTGAAACAGGTACTGCTGCCACTGTAAAGGAGTCCATCAACTGGCGGGGGGAGGGGGAGGAACAAGGCATATACGATCAATAACTTAGCAGAGCTAGCCGGCCAAGAAAAACAGCACAGGAAGATGGAGCAGAGGTCCATTAAGAAACAAGTAATTTGCCCATCCAGCACCCAACTGGCTTGGTCAGCACTTTGTCAGGTGTGTCTGCACAAGCTTAAGCTTCCTATCCCTGTCTGAGTATAAGCCTAGGACTTTCTCCAGGCAAGACTTCTACTGTTTCATAGGGCTAGAGTTTCTTATGTGTCCTATTTGGTCCTGCCACATATGGTTGGAATTGTACATGGTCACCTGGAGGGTGGCAAATGCTCCACGTCTTCTGCCTGTTTCTGTGGCTGAGTGGGTAAGCAGCTTTCCTGGAGGGGAGTGCTTTTTAGGTTTGAATCCTGTCATTTTCCTATTTTGCCTGACGTTACTATCACTGGCCAGATTTCACAAAGGCATTTCACAAAAGGGAAAGTTATCTGAACATACACTGGGGTGGTGGAAGGATGGTGGAACAGGGAGAAAATAAAATCTTTGAAGTTATTATCCTTACATTTGCTAAATAAGATGTTTGTTTCTTTGACAAGGTGTCTTCGGGATCCGAACATTCACTCACTGAAGTAGCTGGTGAATCTGAGTTCTCTACTACAGCTTGTTCAGGGCTCATGGTGCCATTATTGCAACGGGGGCAAAAAAGCACAACATTGCTTGGTTCAAATGATGTGCAACACTCTGTACATTTTGCAGTTGTATTTTCCTGACTGAGATCAGCCATCTGTTTGGTCGTGTAGATCCTGCTGTGCAAATTAAACAGTAGCACAAAGATTGGCACCTCAGTGTCCACTGTTGAAGGAAGCAAAACAAAAAGCTGAGAAAAGGAATTGGAAGGTCACAGTTAGTGGACTGGAGGTATTAAAATGTTTTATGACTAGCAATGGCTTCAAGCAATGACAGTACTGTAATACAGACCTCTGATCTCTCTCGATCTCTCTATACACACGTGTGTGTGTGTACACACACACATACACACATTTTTAAACGGCGTTTCTATGCGCTGCTCTGGTTTCGCCAGAAGCGGCTTAGTCATGCTGACCACATGACCCGGAAAAACTGTCTGCAGGCAAACGTCGGCTCCCTCGGCCAGTAAAGCGAGATGAGCGCAACAACCCCAGAGTCGTTCACAACTGGACTTAACTGTCAGGGGTCCTTTACCTTTTTTAAGCAGGGGAAATTATGTATCTTGATGATTTCAGCTTACAAAAGGGGAATATATAATGCTACATTTTTTATGTTGTAATATTAGAAGGAATATTATGTACAACCTAAAATCTTACCTCAAAAAGTGAGGACCATGTTGAAATAGGTAGCACTGTCATGGAAGGGAGCTGGAGTAAGAATGGATAGAAAGAAACCACTGAAATCTACAGACTAAGTTCAATCTGCCTACTATTCATAAACTAAAAGACACCCCCCCCAAAAAAAAACAACCATACAGAAACAGCATGCTAGAATGTTTTGTTGTTTGTTATTAGTTACTTTATCATTCTGGGCTGGATTCAACTAACTGGACTTCCCCTAGCATAACAAGGTTTTCCCTTCTGTCTTGCCTCCTGCACCTGCACCCCAAATTGGCTCAGTGGGAATGGGAAAACCCCCAGAAACGTTCATAGAGGAGAGAGGAGGGGTTGTTCGGTGCTTGTGCAGACAGAACATTTGTAAAAGCACAACACTGAATTCTTCCCTGTTTATATTCTCAGCTGTAGAATAAAAATTGAAAACATAAAACAAAACCTATTATGCTAGAGAGGTAAATGTGTATTCGGCTAGCTTGAATGAAGTGACAGGGCTTCAGGTATTTGGCAGGATGTTGGACTAGATAAGCCTTTGGATCCTATCTTATTGCTTGATCCTTAAAAGAAGAGCCTTTGCTCTCTAATGTTCTTTATATTCCTCACTGGGTATATTCCCCCAGATCCAACAACTTCTGAGATATGTCTACTCCACCTCCGAGATTGCTACCTGCCAACCTATCTACGATGGTGGTGGCACAGCCATCTTATGCCACAACTGTGAAATGTGTGGGCTGGGGTCAATACAAACATAATCAAGATAGCTCTGATCTGTGTCATTGCCGAGCTGCCCCCTGCAGTCCCCATTGCCACTTGGAGCTCTGGATTCCATGCCAGAAACACACCAGGGCAGCATAATTAACATGGCAGGATGGTGAGCATGCAGTCCAGAGCTCCAGTCAAAGCTGCCCCCTCAGTCCTGTTGGCTGCTGCCATGGGAATGCCAGGAATCAGGTGGGCCCAGCATCTCACATGTTGGCAGCAGGTCTAACATGGCTCCTGGTTTTGCTCATCTCTAAAAATTAATGAGCTGTGTTTGTTCCAATGTTTGCTACCAGACTATACCAGAACACTCTGTCACAAGAGACGGGCCTCGGCTTGACATCTTTCCGCACTGCATGTTCCACCGGCCTTGCCGGGCACAGCCTGACTTTGAATGGTTACTATAATAATTTTAACTGAATATTTAGCTTTTGTACTTTTATTTTTTAGCCGCCCTGGCCACTCGCTAAAATATTATTTTATTATTATTATTATTAGAAAACGGTTTAAATTTTACTTTAATATATGACAGGAAGAACAAACTGGCAACCCGGGAACCAAATCATATTACAGCACCCTCTACAAGCCCAACCCAAATTCTAAGCATGGTGTCATGAAAGGCTGGTCTACAGTTTCAGCTGTAAGGAAAAGAAAATAGATTCCATTCCAAGAAACTGTGACTCCACCACATACTCTCTCTTTTGGATTTTGTAGGTAATGTCCTGGCTAAACCTTGAGCACATGGGTTCTATAATTGTGATAGCCTAAGTATTGCAATGCACCTACTTTATTATGGAGCTTGACTACTCATGAGAAAGTCAGCTGCTAGTTAATAGACACTTCCTACCACCAGGTGATTAGGAGAATGGCATGGTCCCCAACAACGCAGAAGTCAGCCATCCCTGACATATAGCAGCATATCAATGAGCTTAATGGTCAACCATGCAAAGTGCAAGTGTGATTTACCCACGACATGGATACTGAAGAATAATTAACCTAAAGAATCTCTTGTACGCTTTTTGTGTTAGCCAAGCATATCAAATTTATAGCTAGCTTCCTAATCTCTTTTTATGCAGAGAGCCAGAGTACCTTTTAAAGCATTCCTAAAATATCAAAGAAGAACAGAAGTTATCTAAACAAATGCAGGATAAATAATTATAATCCCTTCTGGACAGACCAAAGCTTGTAATAATCAAAGCAAAAGGTGTGTAAAGTCCTTACAGGTGAAATAGACCCTTTACATTTTGACCAGAATGCTATAGGAAGCTCATGTGCAATGGTGCCATATTATTAAAGTCTAAAACCAATAGCTAGATAATTAAACGAAAAACAAAACAATACTATGTAACTGTATCCAAACATTTCATCTCTGCTTAACAAACACAAAACTTTTATTACTTCCAACTCTACAATTCTATGATTCTATGATTATCCTTTTATGTTTCTAAGAGTACATTCACAAGCAATAAGCACAACTGGGTCTGCCATCTCACCTATGTACTTTGTGATGTGTCGCATTCAAACATTTGAAGGTGCTAACTCAAGTTTATCAATATTTCAGCCATGCCATTATAGATCAAAATCAATCACTGTCAAAATTGTCTAAATGGAAATAGGTTACATTTGCTTAACCACATTATATATGCCTAGTTGCATCTCAAAGCAAATATACATGAGGTAAATGCTTCCCTGCTACTATTTTATTTTAATTTTTGTACTGCCAAAGTGTATCAACTCACTGAGTTATTATTCTAGTTACTCTGCTGAAGGTCACTGTGAAGTTTTCTTCCCAATAAAATCAAATTTTGCACCATGGCAATACAGACTCTGTAAAAAGAAACCAAAAGATTTTTTTGAATAGCAAAACATGAACTTGTATAAATTTGCACAACCTTAGCCATGTTCCCTGCAAAGAGTTTACCTTGTGGGTGGAATTTGGAGGTTCGGATTGGGATCAGGATGATGCAGACTGCGGAGGGACAGGGAAGGTACTGAAATTCTGGAGGTACCTTGGAAAGAGAAGCCATAAAGGGGGGAAGCATCTCTGGAAGCATATTTGGGGCAAGTGAGAAAACCAGAAAGTGATTTGCAAGATCTTAAGTCTGTTTTCCCCATCAAATACTTTCAAGGTTTGCAATGAATATGAACAATAGGTGCTTGATCTTCTGGGGCAGTGACAGCCAATGAGTTAGAGGCTGCTGAATCCCGCTGTTCCCTGTAGTTCCTACACACTGGCACAAATCTGTTCTGGAGAGCTGGGGGAAGGCTTTTCAGAAGACAATTTACAGGGCAATATCCAACGAGATTTTTCCTTCTACATAAAAAAATCCCACTTACACACCAAAACTCCCTGCGCATGAGAACCCCATATCCTCCTCAAATTTGATCTAGAGGGTAGGGAAAAAACCACAGAACAGATTTAGGGGCCATGAAGGGGGTAGAGAGGGGGTGAAATCGTTGTGTTTATGGAATTAGTTCGTTTCATACCACCTACAAAATCCTGACAAACTGAAACGTTCTATAGCGAAGTAAGAACTTAATAGCTCCATTTATAAAGTGAAAAATTAATGGAAAAGCAAAGTCAATAAAACATACTGTTAATACTCTTTCATTTAAGCTCCTGCACAGCAAAATTTAGCAGAATTTGAAACAGTTTCCTGCTCAAAGGATAATTATCAAACTGCTTTCTACTCCTCTTTTAATTATAGTATTGATGTATTGAATGATGTTTTTATGGTAGTTGGAAAGATTTTATGTTTTGAAAGGCAGTGCATATATAAATCCCCAAAATAAATAAATAATAAAACTGTAAAGAGCATGCAAGTTTTAGTGGTTGAACATGTTTGGGAACTAGTAGACATGCTCAGAAGTGTTAGGATTAACTGGAAAATACCTTTAATAAACTAAAAAGAAAAAGAAAATGCACTTTTAGCATAGCAGTGTTGAAGTACAAAACATGATGGATAAAAAATGAAAAAGTGAAGAAGAACTCAGGCTGACTAGGAAGAAAAAGTAAAGCAGCATGTACATTTGAGCACTGCAATGACCTTGAATACTCATCACAAAATGGAGGCAAATATCTGACAATTTTAGCAGGTGGTCAGAGGGAAAGACTATTTGAATAGCTTCCAGAAAAAGAAAATCTGACCATATTTTCTTTCACCTAGTGATGTTCCAGTACCTTATAGTGGATAATATTTTTCTTAAATGAACAGAATTCTGTGCTTATATGATATAAATTCTGGAGTAATCCTACTGAAGCCAATACCGTTACTCTAAGTTTAAAAAATCTGGTTCAGTGTGATTAAAATCAATAGAGCGCATCGTTTGATGATACTACTTCTCAAGAAAAGGCTATAAGCTTCAGGCATGCTATTATTTGATTACACAATTTCATTGACAGGTTGAAAGGCTTAAAAGGCAACTGAGATATGTGGAGGATTTCATTTTCACAGGAAGAGGATTCATTTCCTCATTTGAAAGGACATCACCATGTCATTTCCTCAAAGTTTAAAAAAAAAATCTGTCCTTTGTTGTAAGACACTTGACAAGAAAATTCCTTTTCTAATCTCAAAAAAGCAGATTTCTTGCCAGTTATGATTGGATTTTTTTTCAACAGTGCACAGCATCATTTTAAAAATATGAATTATAACTCTGATATTGTTCTATGCATGTATTTGCAGGAAGACTAATGTTTTTATTTTATGCATTTGTTTATTTTTCTCCATCCTTTCGGGGTCAATTTATGTTTCTGTTGTTGAGTCCTCCAAGGGGCATGGTCTACCTATAGTGTTCTGTACTTGATATCAGCACCTTGCATCCTTCAGCAGGGCAAAATTTAAAGCAAAGTAAATAAATGATTTTGTTTCTGGTAGAATGACTGATGACAAGACAGGAATATACACACAATGGAATTCTGCAACCTGTCATATATATGAAGCTTACTGCCCACATAACCTGTTTTCACAGGTCCACAACTGTCTATAACATGTATGAAATGAGGCAGTCACTAGATCCTACAAAATATACTTTCAAGAGAAGTCACAACCTACACCTAAACAAAGATAAGAATTATTATTTTTTTACAAAAAAAAAGACACTCCATCAGTATTTGGGGCTACCCTGCCACATAGTATGATTACCCTCCAAGGCCTTCTGCTTCTCTTCCAGACATAGCTGTCATATCACCAACTCCAGCAAAATCCCCATCTAGGTCAGCAAACTACTGCTTCCATAAAAACAAGTCTGGACTGCTTTACGGAGTTAGTGCACTAGAGTCTAACAACAGAGAACAGTGCAAGAAACATCTTCCCCACTGAGAGGGAATGATGTGCAGTCTAACTCTTGCTATAGTAACATTACAGCCTAGATGTTCCTTGCTTATCTGACTGACTTACACTCCATTCTGGTCACCTAATATCTGATCCTTTGAACTGACTGATATTAAACCTGAAAGAAGCACTGTAGTCATCGCCTTCTTGTTCTTCATTGATACATGACTGGCCCATTAATACCTGCCAGCCAAAAAATATTATCTCCCCAACTACTGCATAGCTTCATGGTAGCTGTTCATCTTTCTTACTTCTGCCTACTTATTATCTAGACTGACTAAGTAATTGCTTAGCCTAAATGTGACGAGTTAGTGAGTGTGCAACATTGCAGTGCAGTGCATACTGTAGACATGCAGTGTGGTAAATACTGTCTTTTATCACATTTCAGTATCTACTATGAGTGGTACATGGTAGAACTCTGCTGCTTTGTGATGGGTGTATAGCACTGCAGCGTAAGAAATGTACATTTAGATGCATGTATGTGTTTTTTCTAAAAGAGAAACCTATTGTGTGTTTCTACAAACCTAGCATTTGAAAATGAAATTGATTATTAACCAAAAATAATAATTCTTACCTGATACACTCACATTTGATTGGTCGCACGAAACACCACTGTAACTTCAAAATGTTCCCATTCCCTATATTTAACAAAGGAATGAATATTTTACTTGCTATTTATACTTTCTGCTCCAAAATAATAAGCCTAGAAAGTATATCGGGGGGGGGGCATCAACCTTATATCAGAGCAGCACAAGTCTAATCAGGTTTTCAGCGGCTGGAAACCAAGGTTTTATAGTCAGTGGGGCATAACTGGAAGTGAAAAAAATCCATAAGCAGAGACCCAAGGAGAGTGGGGGCAAATTAATGTTTAATTGCAATTGAGAGCATCCTATTGTCAAGGACAACAAGGGCCAAGTCTGTACAAGTAAAGGTAATTATTTAACTAGTCAAGCCGCTAACTAATGCTTCATACTGCTATGAACACTAATCTCACACACAGACATACAACACAGCTGGAACTGAAAAAACATTATTAGCCAATGAGAAAAATAAAACACATGAGGTGGCTTCATCAGATATTTAGTATTATCCATATTACTGAGTGTAGCTACCACTCATACCTAGGTGTTACATACGGTTTATCTAAAATATTGTAATTATTTAAAATAAATTATTTAATAATTTTTCAAATATATTTTTTCCACGTTATCTTCTTTTTTTAACAAAAATGCTTGCTTAATTACCAACATATATTCACCATACATTAAAGTAGACGGCTGTAATGGATAGCATCATAGAAGATATTAAGAAAAACAAGTGAAAACAAATACATACGTAGATGCTTAACTGGACTAATTGGATGCTCTCTCTGTGTGGTAAGTACATCATAGGACATGATAATTTACTTTAAAATATGACCATCACATTGGTCTCATAGATTGGTTTTCACAGATTGTGCTTGTTAGGTTGTGGGTTGACATAGCAGCCGGCACAGCGATTTCTTCAAGTAGCTCTTTATTATGGTAAGCTGGAATAGAACTGACTCCGAACAGCTCAGCCGGCCTGTATTTATAGGCAGCCGGCTGTCAACATTGTAACCACAACAGCTCAGAGTTCCCGCCTAAAATAACTGCCGCGGACCTGAGTGAAAACTATCTACAGACCTGAGTGAAAACTATATACAGTATCCCCCTGTTGGCCCAGGGTGAAACTACACTACATAACACCCCTCCCCACCGAGATAAGGCGTTAGTTACAATCGTAATGGTTTCCTTATATACAGCACTACGCGTAATGGTTCAATTAAGCACAAAAGCATATCGGTTACATTTCCCATACTTAGACCAACAGTGATACCTGTCCAACAACATAGTCCTTTAAATAAGTTGGGCGCCTGGAAACTCTGCCAGACCGCCGGGGACTGGTAGCCAAGTCCGGAGGGCCACACAGTTCTCGCTGAGGCTGTGGTGCGACCCTAGGTGGCGTTGGAACCAACTCCCCTGGATCCGCTGCTGTGGGTGGAGCCTCCGCAAGTGGAGTGGTCTGAGTCTGTTCTGAAACGGCTTGGTTCGGCTCCACGCTGGCAGTTTGCGAGGGAGGTGTAGGTAGGGCCTCGCCATCTGTACGTGTCTCTTCTGGAGCCGCAAGCGCAGTTGGGGGCACCTCGGTAGTGTCCAAGTCCCCAACCCTGCGCCTAAGCTGGTCTATGTGCCGTCGCCACAAGCGTCCGTCTTCGAGTGCCACCTGGTACGAGCGAGGTCCAGTGACTCCCACTACTGTGGCTGGCACCCAAGGGATGTCCCCCACATAGTTCCGGGCAAAGACCTGGTTTCCTGGGACAAATGACCGTGGTACGTTGGCACAGCCTGGGGGTTCAGCCACGGCAAAGTCCGGGTGCAGCCGGTCGAGCGGTGACCTGAGGCGGCGGCCCATAAGCAGTTCAGCAGGACTCCTCCCTGTGGCCGCATGAGGGGTGATGTGTTGCACGAACAAGTATTCGGCGACCCGCTCATGCCAGTCTCCCCGGTCCAGGCGCGCCAGTGCCTCTTTTGTCGAGCGCACCATTCTTTCCGCTTGCCCGTTGCTGGATGGATGAAAGGGTGCCGTTAGAGCATGGCGGATGCCCAGTCCCAAAAGATACCGCTCAAACGTGCCTGACGTGAACTGCGGTCCGTTGTCAGAGACAAGGACATCAGGACACCCATGCGTTGCAAACAGGCCTCGCAGCACCCGGATGACAGCTTCGGTAGTGGTGGAGGGCATCAGGGCGACCTCCAGCCATTTGGAATAGGCGTCCACCACTACCATAAAGGTCCGGCCGTGAAAGGGGCCAGCCAGATCGATGTGCACCCTCGACCAGGGTGTCTTTGGCGTCTCCCAGGTGTGTCCCTTAGCTGCCGGTGGTGCAGGCCTCGACTCCTGGCACGCTTGACAGGCGGACACCCAGGCAGTGATGGCATCGTCCATATTAGGCCACCAGACGTAACACCGAGCCAACGCCTTCATTTTGACAATTCCCGGGTGGCCAACGTGCAGAGCCTCCAGGACGCGCTGACGGAGTCCCTGGGGAATCACGACGCGGTCTCCCCACAGCAGGCAGCCGCGATGAGCTGAGAGTTCATGTTGTCTGGTTGCGAAGGGCTGGAACTCCGATGCAAAAGGCCCTTGTGGCCACCCCCTCCACACCCAGTTGAGCACCCGGCTGATGGTGCGATCCTGGGCAGATGCGGAGGCCACAGTGGCAGCCGATACAGGCGCTGCCGGAAGATCCTCAATCAGAAGGAGCGATGAAGCTGGAGCCGGGTCTTCCACAAATGCTGGAAGAGGGCAACGGCTGAGGGCGTCGGCATGGCCCATCGATTTCCCCGGGCGATGGATGAGCCGGTAGTGGTAGGCAGCCAGGAAAACAGTCCATCGCAGCATGCGTGGTGAGAGGACCGGTGGAGTTGGACGATCACCGGCGAGGAGGCCCAGGAGTGGCTTGTGGTCAGTGATGAGGTCAAAAGTCCTGCCATAGAGGTATTCATGGAACCTCTTCACTCCAGCCACAAGTGCCAATGCCTCCTTATCGAGCTGGCTGTAATTCCGTTCCGTCGGAGATAGTGTCCTGGAAAAGTAGGCGAGCGGTGCTTCTCTTCCATCTGGAAAACGGTGACTAAGGACAGCACCGATGCCAAAAGGTGAGGCGTCGCAGGCAAGGACCAGCGGCCTGGATTCACTGTACTGTACCAGCACACTGTCTGAAGAAAGGAGAGCCTTGACCGCGTTGAAGGCCGCCGTCTCCCGATGACCCCAGGCCCAAGGCGTCTTAGTGCTAAGGAGTCGGTGAAGAGGCTCAGCCACTGTGGCTTTGTGGGGCAGGAACATGTTATAAAAGTTCAGCAGCCCCAGGAATGCCTGCAACTCCGTTTTGTTCTTTGGGGTGGGGGCCTGCTGGATAGCGCGGATCTTGGATGCGGTTGGATGAAGACCAGAGGCATCGATAAGATAGCCCAGGAACTCTACCTGTGGAACGGCGATCTGGCACTTCTCCCTCTTTACCTTGAGCCCGGCCTCCTGGAACCTGGTCAGCACGGCACGGAGGCGCTCGAACAGCTGCTGGTGTGAGTCTGCAGACACCAAGACGTCATCAAAATATGGTACCACGCCCGGAAGCCCTTGCAGGAGACGCTCCATAAGGCTTTGGAAGATGCCAGGAGCCACACTCACCCCGAACTGCAACCGGCGGCAACGGAATGCCCCCCGGTGGGTGACGATCGTCTGGGCTTCAGCAGTGGCATCATCGACTGGCAGTTGTTGATAGGCTTGGGCAAGGTCCAGCTTAGCGAAGACCTTACCCTCACCCAGGGAATGCAGCAGGTGTTGGACAACAGGAACCGGATAAGCGTGCTGCTGAAGTGCCTTGTTGATCGTGCACTTGTAGTCAGCGCAGATTCTCACCGACCCATCTGGCTTGACAGGCGTGACGATGGGGGTTTCCCACTTTGCGTGGTCAACCGGCTCCAAAACTCCTTGGGCGATCAGTTTGTCCAGTTGTTCGTCCACCTTAGCCTTGAGAGCAAAGGGAACCCGGCGTGGCTTTAGCTTGATGGGGGCGACTTGTGGATCAAGGCTAAAGGAGATGGGCGTACCTGTATATTGGCCCAAGGTGCCGTCAAAAACCTCGGCAAAGTCTTTGACCAGACCCTCAGTCTCTGCGTTAGAGATGCAGTTGATGCCGGTGACTTCCAGGCCGAGGGCATCAAACCAGTCTAGCCCTAGGAGGCTTGGCCGCTGACCTTCGACCACCACCAACCGGAGCAGGCCCGAAAAATCCTTGAAGGCGATCCGGAACCGGCCAACGCCTACCACGGGAATGTCGTTTCCCTGGTAGTCTCTCAGGTGTACGCGGTGAGAGTCGAGTTGCCTTTTGGACACTCTGGGTACCAGTCTTTTGATGGTGCTCCATGACACGATGGACAGGGCAGACCCGGTGTCGATCTCCATGTCACATGGAGCTCCTTCAATGAGCACCGTGACGTTCAGCTTGCGTCGCGTAGGCGAGTCGGTTTGGCCAATCGTGGTTCCAGACGGGCAGCGGCAGTTGGTGAGAGCGAAACAACTTCCCTTGGCAGACTGGAGTGAAGACTTGGACTTGCGAGTCGATGAAGGGGGGGTGTCAGACGGAGCCGATCGGCAGACCTTAGCGATGTGGCCCCTTCTGGAACACTTCCTACAGATGGCGTCTCTGAATCGACACTTGGCACGGGAATGGTTGCCTCCGCAGCCAGCACATTCCGGTTGGCCCTTGGACTTCTGTTGGAACTTCCTGCGCTCCCGCTTTGTCTGGTGCACGTCATCGTCTTCACTGGAGGATGCCTCCTCACTGCTGGCCTCTTCATGATGCACTGGAACTGGCTCCCTAACAAGACGCGGGCTGCTGGACTTGCGGATCTCCTGGGCGGAGCGTTCAGCAGCTTCTGAGGCCACAGCCTCCTCAATGGCTTTCTGTAGCGTGAGGTCTGGCTTGGCTAGGAGGCGCCGTTGCAGATGGATGTCCCGGACCCCGCAGACGATTCGATCCATCAGGGCATCGTCTAAGTCTCGGAACTCACAGTGCATTGCAGCCTGTCGCAGGGCGGTGGTGTAGTTGTTGATT